CAGTGGTATGAAAAATTAGTCAAAAAACTCAAAAACTTTGGATTACAACCATTACGAATCAGATAAGTGTGTATACAGGATGAAAACATCTCAAGGTGAGTTAATTCTAATTTTATATGTTGAATGACTTAATAATAGTCAACAAATAGCTGTGATTTATATGCTGAACTTAAAGGTTATCTTTCTAAAGAATTTCATGTTAAAAGATTTAGGCAAACTTCATTATTGTCTAGGAAGATAGAATTTAATCAAGATGTAAATAATAATTCTATTAGTTTATCTCAGCAGAATATGTTGATAATATTCTACGAAGGTTTAATATGCAAGATGCAAAACCAGTAGCAACTCCTTTAGATCCTAGTGTAAAATTAAGTAAAGAAATGTGTCCTTCTGAAACTGAAAAGGAAGAAATGAACATGTACCTTATCGCCGTCTAATTGTTTCGCTTATGTATCTTTCTGTGTTTACTAGGCCGGATATTACATATGCCGTCAGTCACCTGAGCCAATTTAATAACAATCCTGGAAAATTACACTGGTTGGCTGCAAAGCGCGTTCTTCCATACTTAAAAGGAACTAAAAATTATTGTTTAAAATTTCGAAAGACTGAAAAAAAGCACTTATTGGATATACCGATGCCGACTGGCGCGTCTGATGTTAATACTAGAAAATCGTATACAGGTTACCTATTCAAGCTAGCTGGAAATCCGATAACATGGGAATCACGAAAGCAACAAACTGTTGCATTATCAAGTACTGAAGCAGAGTACATCAGTCTTTCAGAAAGTGCCAAAGAAGCAGTTTATTTACGTCGTTTCCTTAAAGAATTAAATTTTACTGCTGATTATCCAACCATTATATATTGTGATAATCAAGGTGCACAAAAAAGCTTATGAAAATGCTGTTTATCACTCACGCACTAAACACATAGATATTAGACATCATTTCATTCGTGAAATTTATGAAAGAAATGAAATAGACGTTAAATATGTGCCAACAGAGAAATGCCTGCTGATGTACTGACAAAAACATTGACTGCTTCGAAACATTCTAAGTGCTGTAAATTAATTGGAATAACTGTAAATGATTAATGTTTATTTTTTTTCAGCCGCCAAACGTCGAAAGGGGGATTGTTGTATCATAAATTATATTACGACGTTTAGCTTAAGAGAGCTTCTCCTGACGCATGCGCCGTTCGCGTTTATCCGCGCGGTGAATGATGATGACGTAACTGTTTATTACGTATGTATGTATATGTATACCATTCTTACTTCTTCGCCTTTTTTCTCTGCTGTACGCAACTATGTTTAAGTTAATTTCTGTCATTAAAAATGTTCATTGATATTATAATCTATTTAGGCTTATTTATTTCTTCACATCCTATACGAAACAGTAATACATGTAAACTCTTCTTTAAAACATCCTACACGAAAGCATTTCTTTTGTAGTCACATATAGCTTTCGAATGTTTAGTCGTAATAAAGTGCGTATTCATTCTAAAAGAAGAAAGAAAATTTTAAATTTTTTTCGTGAGAGATTTCAGTATGCATGTTTTCTTAAGAAAAAATGTTTCCTTCAAATTTAATCGAAAACCTGTGCCATCTAAATACTATCATAAATAATTTATTGAATAGAGTTTCGATTTTTTAATTAAATGCTTATAATACTGTGATTGCAAACACCTTTCGCTAAAATTTCCAAGGTTGAGTGGTTTCAAAGAAAATTGTCCTAGATAAATTTCACTAAAAGCTAGGTAAATATCAGCTTATCAGCTTATTTTTTGCCTTTTAGTGACATACGTAAGAGCCTTCGCCACTTGCCATGGAGTAGTAGTTTTCAAATTTTATGGCAGTGTTATAAGGTATTTTCCCCGCTTTCCTAGCGTGCCTTCGTGGTGTAGTGGTTCTGCACGCTGGACCGGTATTCTTTCAGCGGTTCCCTGGTTCGATTCCCGGCGAAGGCGGTTGTTCTTTTTTCATTGACAGTGAGACATACAGTGAGACAAAAACTATTGCTAGGCTCCAGTTAGAGAGTCGGCCCTTAGTTACACAGCGTCAGTTCAGATTTTTTAGGATTTTTATCCACCTTATGACCCCCCTATGAATTTTGGCGACTCGAAATGGGATTGCGAGTCGTAGTTTAAATACCACTGCCACAGGGTATCATAGGCACGGCAGCCATTCGAAGTCATGTTTCAGATACTTTCTAATCAGTGTTTGCATTATGAGCTGGGATAAAAAGTATCATATAAGTCTCGTAAGGCATGAAACTAGAGTTGTAAGCACGTGTATTTGTTAACTTATTGGGCAACCTTTCTAAACATCTGCTATTAGTTATTTAGTTATTTTAATTATAGATATATACATGTGGGAATAGTGGAAGGAATAACAATAAAGTATTAGAAATTAAACTGATAGACTACTCAGCGTACAGTGCTCATGAATGTTAACTGATCAAGCTGTCAAACGCATGATATTTCATAGACATATACACTGCTTGACAGTTGTTAAGAAACGAAGTATTTGTGAAAATATACATTCCCGACAACCGCGCAATCGCATGAAGAATAAGTGTATAGGGCGTTGCAGGGTGTATTTCTTATCTTTATAAGAGGCAGCGCACTGGCTGGTTTTAACTCTACTCACTATAAGTTACTCTTTTACGAAACCAGATTGCTTATTATGCTTCGCTATGCTAGCCTTGTATAGGAATACTCATGCCGTACCAATAGAAAAAATGTTACAAAACGTTACAGATTGCCGAAAACTCTATCCTGAGACAAATCCCGTGCAGTCCGTGGTATGTTCATAACAACAAAACTAGTAAGAACTGGGTGTTCATCAGCTACACGTTAACTTACTTACTTACTACCAGCTGAGTTACTGTATTGCCTGTTATATAAAACATTTGTACTCAATTGGTGGAGCATTCTGTTGTCCCTAGGCCGAGCTAAAAATCTCTTTGAAACATTAAAATTTGTAGCGTAATTTATAAAGCTACTTCGGAAGATGGGTATTTGTGGCCTGTGATTAGTAAAGAGATCCTGTCAAGACTTTGACTGTGTTGAATGAAAATTTTAGCAATGTTTTATGCATTGTGATTATGAGTTTACAAAGAACATTTACTCTAGAAGTCAATGGTGAATTGAATATAAGAAGTTATTCGGATGGATTATATTGAGCAAAATCAACTGGGTATATTAATGTACCTAACATGTGCTGTTCACATATTTTCAAAGTTCCTGTGTAATGTTTGCTTGTCACATTCATAGTAGGCACTTGTGTTATTCACTTATTTGCAGTTTGCTTACAATCCACTTATATATAGTCTGCCTCTTAACTGAAGGTGACGTTGAAAATCACCAAATAGTGTACAACTTTTATAGAAGTCTCAGAGAAAACAACCACTCCATCATACCACTTTATTATGATTATTGCTTGCCAGGTATTGGCAAACAGCTGGTGGTCATATTAAGCAATAAAATGTGAATCACTATTTGGTACTGACATTATATTTCCGTATTTTGTTCTTATTAATCTGTACTTTGTATATTACTGTAGCCTAGTACATCCTCTTGAACCAACATTGCCTTTAATTACCCCACTTAGTCTGTATGCTTGTGTGTCATATGGTTAGATCACTTTGATTGTGTGAATGCCTCATGTGAACTTTATTCAAGATATTTTACACTATGATATCTCACTCTGTCTTACTCTTATTTACATCCATCGCCAGCTCCTTCCCCCATTTAACTTACTGTGTTGAGTTCATATCCTTAATTTTCGTTTTTTAATTATTGATTAATCTTCTTATATTATAAATTTATTTTGGACCATTTTACAATTCGAAATTTAAATCAGTTTCAACGGAGGTTGGACAATGAGTCCGAGTAACTACCATAAGTTTTCATGTTAGACGGTAGATACTGACTGCGGAGTGTCATATAAGACATAGTGAGTGCGTACAATTGTGAATGCATCCTAGCACGTCTAAGTAAGACGACTGTGGTTGAAAATCTGGATGTCTCAAGGCAGGACGAAGTGTCACTCAAGTTGGCCTAGTAACAAGCATGTCGAAAATAATTTTACGTCGAGGTTAAAGAAGGCTTCCGAAGGTGGAAGTGCAGTGCGAAAAATTGCTGCAGACCTTAGCAGCAAGACCACAATCGATATAAAATTAGTAACTTAATAACCTTGAGTTTGGCATAGATTTAGTCAAGATCTCAAGATATGTACGCCAACCCAGTGACGAAAAGGAAAATTCCGTTATGTTACAAATGTTACTCCTGGTTAGATATCCTCAGACCTTCCAAACATTATCGGCGTTCACGCATCTGTGAGAAAAATTGCGCGGTGATTATATGACGTTGATTTATATACACGAAAATGTGTTGCATGCATTCTGCTACGAATACATTCATCGTCGAAAAGATTAAGTTGGTATATTCACCATCCCTGTAGAGGTCAGCAAAAGTCATGCACCTCGCTTCACTGTCAACAATGATTCTGGACACCAGCTAGTGTAGAGAAAGAGAAATAACTCTTTACTATCGCTGGAAAGTCAAAGAAATTGATCGCTATGGCCAAAGAATGATTGTGTGGGCGGGTATCATGCGCAGTGGGGCAGAACTTCTCTGTATATCTTCGACGAAGGTATACTGACATCTCAGCGGTATTGTACGGAAAATATCTATAGATCATGTTCGTTTTTTCCGTGGTGCAGTTGATCCAGACTAGTTACTGTATGACAAAAAAGAAGGCGCGTCCAAAAGTAAAAGAACCAGCTGTACTGATGAGTGCATCTGTCTTTGCAAATTTATCTGTTTGTTTCTTAATTTCACTGATCTTCCCCAATAATGTTAAACCTATAACTTGCCCGTCATGGTTTATGCATTACTTGTTTGTTTCATGAGTTCAGAACTGAAGACGTATTTATAAAAGCTCAACAGGAGAAAAATATTGCAGGCTGTAGATTCGAAATGTAATGAGAAAAAACACGATATAATTAGCCATAAAAGTTTATTTAATTTATTCTTCAAACATATGAACTGTAGAAATAAAAATATCACAAATCTCAACAATATTAACAGGCTTCATAATGGAAATACTGTACTCCAAAATAGTTTTAACTTTTCCTTTTATCTATTTACAGCTGCTAAACAGTTTCATAATTTTTGGTAATTATTATAACGGAATGGCCTTCAGATGAATTCCCTTTTTAGGATTTATAGATGCTGCAGCTATCTTCAAAGTTATAGGCTCCTGTAAATACACAAATGCAATTTAATATTACTGAAAATTTTTATTGGATATTTTATTACAATGTTTTTTGTTTCAGCACAACCAAATAAAAATAATCACTAAAACAAACACACACTCATTTCATGGTATAAAAAAGAAGACGGAAATTCATTTGATCATATGGAACATCAGGCAGCAAATTATTTCTCACTCATTTCACTATTTAAATCGATAGATTTATCGAAGTAGAAAACAGAAGCAAATTTTGTTTTACATTTACAAATTCGTGAATATTTAGACAAATCTGCACTATGATCCCTTCTGAAAATATAGTTATTATTATAAAATACATAGGTAATATAAACACGTTATTGATGCTTAAGTATGTTAGACTTTAAGCTGCTTTTTTCTAGTTCACACATGACTCATTTTCGGCTGATTGCTATTTCAACAATCATTTTAATTCTCAGTCAAATGGAATTTTTTTCACTAAGTGTTTAGTGCTGCTGTGTAAATGTTTTCTTCTTTGAAAAAATATAGTCCGTTCATCATACTTATGCATTAGTCTGTCTTTATTTTCTGAACCTCAGATTCTCAAAGCCATAAGTTTGCATATAAAGTTAAATTAAAATTTAATTCATTTGTGTTGTTATAAAATTCTCGTGTGACACAAAATCTGCGGAAAAGTGCTAAATAAATGCAACAGTTGCATTCCCAGCTCTCTTTACTATATCCTTCCATCAAGAATTCAGATACCAAAAACCGTGGTAGATAATGGATTCTTCCATACTGATTGGTTGTACGGGCTGGATAAGTACTTTCGGGGTTTACCTAATATGTAAGGAAAATATCAACCAGTTTCTCTAAAGAAATCCTCCAAAAAGGTAAAGATCATGAAATTAAGCAAATTTCCCAGTATGAAGAAAAGAGAGAGAATAATATTAGCTAATATAATGACAAGGTACTGCATAAAAAGCTGCCCACTAATTATTACCATTAAACTGTGTAGAGACATTATGTTAATTGGAAGCAGGAGAGATGAAAAACAGCAACGCCTGTGCCGGGAATCGAACCACGGACCTCTGGAATACGTGCCCAGCGTGTAGACCACCACAGCTCGAAGGCATGCCAAGAAGGCGGGATAAATACCATATAACTGTTTTAGAAATTAGATCTCGTTAAAATATTTACTCAAAAAAGCGTATCGTAAGCTTGTTAAACTTTATAACTTTGAAATGTAGTGTAACATTTATGTTTTTGTCATTTCGGAAATTTTGGAACATTTCTTAATATTTAACATTGATTCCCTCAAATCTACATTGCTAGTCATTAAAATTGCAACACCATGAAAGCAAATATAAAAAATATGATGTGTGCACCACATGACTTCCTTGTACGGAATATTAAATTATACCCATTTTTCCTTGCATTTCATTTAAACTTATTGGATTGAATTAAATCTACTTCGTTGATAGCGCATAAACCACAATAGAATAAATGCACTCTTTAAAATTCATTATATTTGTTTACCATAGCGGCACTCTGGCGCTAGGTTCACTTACAAGCGTTAACGTACCCACAGGCGCCACGAATAATTATCTTCAGAATTCATTTTAAATTAGTTTTACAATTTTTGGGGAGTTTTACAATTCTTCGGGAGTCCTTTATCCTGTCCTTACGTACAGATGTCACACAAAAACATCGTTAAATTGCTTTCGATAGCGGTGAAAATGGACATTTGCGTTGAAATATGATGCCTGAAACTTTTCGCGATTACAATACTTCCTTTTTACTTCGTACAAAGAAGTAAAAAAAAAAAAAAATACTTATTGCACGTAAACAGTATGGCATGAAAACAAAATGATTAAATTCATTAGCATTTTGGAGGTTTGCAGGAGTGCGAAATCAGTAAAAACAGCTGCATCCCTGGCAGCTAAAACGGCCCTTACCCCATTAGGCGTGGAGTCGAACTGGGCTTGGATGACAGAAACTAGCAACTCGTCCCATGCTACTTCTAGTCTATGCTGCTTCAAGACTTCAAGTCTACCCATTACAGAGATAAAAGGATGCACAAAAGGGTGTGAAATTTCGTCGCAATATCGGATGACTGTGACGGAACTAACAGGAATCATGTAGAGAGTGGTGCGGCCATTCGTTGCTATCCCACTCCATACAATAAAGCTTCCTTTTCTGTAATGGTCTCTTTCAACGATGTTTGCTACCCGATGGCGTGTGCCTGGCTCTCGCCATAACATTGTCCTTTGGGTATCATTCTGGCTGTTAAATTGAGATTCCTCAGCCTACCGATTCCACAACGATGCAAATTCAGCTCTTTCGCAACAGGGGATTATCTTGCACTAGCTGGCTGCATCCCGACAGCCCTCCAGCTCATTTCATCGTGTAGATGGTGTCTTCGGCTCAAGCATTTCGCTTTGGCTATCTCGGGTTACATGGAACTATGCTGCTTGTGAATTGACCAGGACAGCTGAAGTCAAGTAGTATAAAAAAAGAAGGCACGTCCAAAAGTAAAGGTGTGTATTTAATTATGGCAAAGCACACTAGGGCTATCTGCCTAAGGGGGGGATGCCTTCGTGGAGGACATTCTAAGGGAAACTGGCTCGTATACACGTTACACATGGGGAAAACCACGAAAACGCCCATGCAGCCGGCCTGTTCGTGGGATTCGAACCTCAGACCGAACTACCAGTGTTCAGACTTTACCGCTCGGCCGCTGGTGGGCCCAAAAGTAAAGGAAACAGTTGTACTGATGAGTGCATCTGTCTTTGCAAACTTATCTGTTTGTTTCTTAATTTCACTGCTCTTCCCCAATAATGTTAAACCTATAACTTGCCCGTCATGGTTTATGCATTACTTGTTTCTTTCATGCGGTCAAAACTGAAGACGTATTTATAAAAGCTCAATAGAAGAAAAATATTGCAGGCTGTAGATTCGAAATGTAAGGAGAAAAAACACGATATATTTAACCATAAAAGTTTATTTAATTTATTCTTCAAACATATGAACTGCAAAAATAAAAATATCACAAATCTCAACAATGTTAACAGGCTTCATAATGGAAACACTGTACTCCGAAATAGTTTTAACTTTTCATTTCTCTATTTACAGCTGCTAAACAGTTTCATAATTTTTGGTAATTATTATAACGGAATGGCCTTCAGATGAATTCCTTTTTTAGGATTTATAGATATCGTAGCTATCTTCAAAGTTATAGGCTCCTGTAAATACACAAATGCAATTTAATATTACTGAAAATTTTTTATTGGATATTTTATTACAATGTTTTTTGTTTCAGCGCAACCAAATCAAAATAAACACTAAAACAAACACACACTCATTGAATGGTATAAAAATGAAGACGGAAATTCATTTGATCATATGGAACATCAGGCAGCAAATTATTTCTCACTCATTTCACTATTTAGATCAATAGATTTATCGAAATAGAAAACAGAAGAAATTTTGTTTTACATTTGAAAATTCGTGAATATTTAGACAAATCTGCACCATGATCCCTTCTGAAAATATAGTTATTATTATAAAATACATAGGTAATATAAACACATTATTGATGCTTGAGTATGTTAGACTTGAAGCTGCTTTTTTCCAGTTCACACATGACTCATTTTATGCCCTTTTAAGGCATTGTGGTGTGACAGCAGGATTGCGTTTAATGCTAATTATGGTTGAATTTTTCCATTCCACGATGCAGCCTGTACCTCATACGTAAATTGTAGGTTTTAGTCCCCTTTTTTACTTTTCCTTTTAGCATTCGTTTTGGCTTACTTTTTGAGCACGAGTGTACGTATATATATATATGTAATTAGATCGACATTGGAAATAGTGAAGCTTAGTAATCTAGTATACCATTTGCATTGAATAAAAAGACGAAACTAAAAAGTTAATTTCTTCTGTGTCTTCAATTCTGAAGTTTTCCACTTCGCTACGACAACACCCGGACTCTGATGTGACCAGATTGCTAAGCTTCATCATTTCCAACGTTGATCTAATGAAAATATTACAAACATATGTTACCGTGAAAAACCGAAATTGGAGAATGTCGACTTTCACTGGAGAATATCAACATTCACCAAATACGTCGGTTAAAGACCGAATATTTCACTACATTCTTGTATATTCGGACCCTCACCGGTGTATGTCGACAATCACAGATATGCTCTGGCGAAAGTCGAAAAGAGAGGTCATAAAGTGCCATAATAGTTTAAGTTGTTGCAACAAATAAGATTTGAATCACATAATTTAGTGAGTTTTTTATTACTGTTATTTTATTTTCTCATTGAGAACGTACTGTATAATTAAGTAAGTTTTTAACATCTATTATTTTTCCTTTCTCATTTTGAATGTATTGTGTGTTTTAGGTTCTCATGTTCTTAAGTTCTTATTTCAAGTCTCAAGTGCGTTTATTCGCGACTGAATTAACGGAGAAGAAAATATAATATTGTTATATGTTCAACATTCACCATTAGTACATGGTGAAAGTCGACATTGACCGGTGTAAGTCAGAAATAAGAGTATTTGGAAAATATTTCGGACATACACCAAGAGACTATGTGAATGTTGACATTCACCGGTGAAAGTCGACATTCTCCAGATTTTGGTGTTTCACCGTAACATACATACACACACACACACACACACACACACACATATATATATATATGCTATGGAAGCGTTTAAGACATTGTTCCTGATGCTAGTAGGACACTTTTAAGCAGAAAAAGCGGAAAATGATTTGAGTGTAAATGGAACGCCATAAAATGAACTTATTAAACAAGAAATTTTGTTTTCCTTGGGATCTTAAAGCGGATTATCTTCCATATGCGTTAATAAGTGTATATTATAATGAACATGTAGCTTGTGTTCACAATGAAGTCTTCAGTTATTAACAGTAAATTCAGGTACTGATAATAAATTCAAAATTTGAGCAGTTAAGGAAAGAGTGACTCTTATGTTTCAGCATATAAGTAATGTACGGCATGCCTCTAGAACGTAGTTGGCATTCTTTGAATGAATTTTTATTGATTTGTGTTTTCAAGATCCTCTTGCTAACTATACAAAATCTTTTGATTTTCGTTTTTAATCATGTTGCTAATCCTGCTATAATTGTAAAAATAATTACTGACACTCATTTAGCTGTGAAATATTAGTCTCTAAATATGCAAACAAATTTTAACCGTCATTTGTTAAATTTAACGAAATTCCCCTACATTGTACTCGTTTTTCAAAGTCAATATCAATATTATGAAAATAACTCTAAGATTAATGAAAACTTTATTGTGGATTTCTAAATTGTTAAAGAGTTGCAGGATGAAGAAGATTTTTCAATAACGTTGAAATATTTGCAAGCTAGTTGATAAAGACGGTGGAAATTAAAAGAAGTGTAGAGTATTTCTAGTGCAATGCATATATTTAAGGTTTAGTTTGATTTATTTAACTATGCAAAGCACTCGAGGGATACCTGCCTAAAGGAAGGGATGCCTTTGTGGAAGACGTTTTAAGGAGAACTGGCTCTTAAACACGTTACACATAGGGAAAACTACAAAAACGCCTATGCAGTTAGCCCGTTCGCTGGAATTCGAACCCCGAACCGAACCACCAGTGTTCAGGACTTTACCGCTCGGCCGCTGCTGAACGCATACATTTAAAATCGGTGTTTCTAATCTAAAAAAAAAATGAATTTAAACATATCTCGCGGCCGTAGAAATGAATAAACGGTAAAACTTGTTCGATGCAATTAGATTCACCTTTTAAGAAATTTCCCTTAATTACAAATTAGCGTTTTCAGTGTTTACTTACATTATCAGTTTCTGCACAAGGTTTCAGTTTATACTTCGACAGAAGTCTCGCTAACGCTAGCTTAGCTTCCATTAAAGCGAATCTCATACCAACGCAATTTCTAGGTCCAGCTCCAAAGGGCTGGTATGCCAGTGGATTAAGCTTTTCTTTATTTTCGGGAGAAAACCTAAAAATTTAAATAACATTAATAAATTCATGTCCATATAACTTCCCTCACAGAAGCAAAAACAGCGTTAAAATACGTGTAGCGTAATCTTCTCTATACAATACTTGCTAAAGCTTCATCAGTTAAACCTACCTTTCAGGCTTGAATTCATCTGGATCTTCCCATAGTTCTGGATCCCTGTGTAGGTTAAATACAGGCACTTGTATGGCTAATCCTTTTTTCAAACGGATTTTACCAAGGTCTACGTCTTCTGCGCATTCTCTGTTTACAAATCTGTCAAACAAATAATGACATATGGTACATATTTATATGTACATGAAAAATATTTTAAATTATGAAAAAATGTTGAAAAGGATTCATAAAAATAGATCTGCGATGGCATATCTACTCATCATGAAGTATCTTGTATTGCAGTAAAGTGTTGTATGTTTACGACCAGAAAAAATATTTGATTTTAAAAGATAAACAAACAATAAAATGTTTAACTACATTTCGACCAAAAAAGTCATATTTAATTACAAAAATTATTTTTTGGATTTTTGCCTCAACCAAAAATTTCATTTTAATTGCTTTGAGGTATACAGGATTCGCAAACTATTATTTTAAATATACGTTTAACAATTTTTATATCCACATATTAAATGCAATTTTTACAACTACATGCTACATGTTAATTAACTGTATCTTTAAATTAATTTTTCTTTTTCATGCCTTTTTCCCCCCTGGCATATTGTAAACTATATATCTGCACCTTTCTTTATTTCTTGGTAGCTGTTCCAAATTTCAGTATTGTAATATATGTATTAAAACGTCATGTAATAATTAAATAAATCTGAGCTATTAGGCCAGATTTATTTGCTATTCTTTATCCCCTTGCAACATTCCTTTATTAGGTTATAGAGTTCCTCACTTTTATCTTGTTAAATGTAAATTTTAAAGAGTTAATAAAGGGTTTGAACCATTCTGCTGTGTAGTTTCCTACTACTCCTGTATTCGGACAGAAGTTAATCCACCTGGACCCTACAAGCTAACCATATGTCGTTTGACCAAGCATATGATTTAAAAAACCGATAAGCTGGAAAACCAGGAATTTTCAAATTTCGAAATGAACTTTTTAAATTTTATCTTTATACAAAAGGATATTTTACGTATTTTAGAAACAAGTGATCGCAATATATCTGATTGCAAAAATAGAGAAACGTGAAACTCTGTCTTGGAGATGATTTTTAAATACCTACGATCACTGACGGAATATATCATCTGAAATTTCCACTATATTAAATTATTTCTCCGAAGGTGGAAACCCTATCCAAAACAGAAGCAAGAATTTTACTAAATATTTTTGCAGTACATTCCGTATTAAATTTTACCTGACTGTTTATGTGAACAATAGCGCATTTTAGATGGTAAAAGAAAATTCAATACGGCCTATCTGAGCTCATAAAAAGTTTTGCTTTTCTTTTATTGTATTATTTTAGAAATAATATGAAGATGCATTTTTTTTACACCTGGTTTGATGACATGAGGTGCGAATGGATACATCCCCATTCACTTTAGCCAGCATATCCGATATTTTAATGAACCAACTTTACATTTATGACTGTCTGAAACCCGCGGCCAAGCCATATTTTTTGGGCTTCCATCGCCCCACCAATTAACAGGACAGTTCGTGACCTCACGTTGTCGTACATTTCCTCAATAACTAGAGTGTGCGCTTCTTATGTTGGTCGAGGCGTTTTTGAGATCTCTCACCGACTGGAAACGGTCAATTGTTGCAGAGACTGCGCGAAAACACCCGTCCGCCAACAGGAACAGATGAGCTCTGACAGAGACCTAAAGCTATTTCCCGAAATGCCATTCAGAATATGTTTACCCCCATATTCAGCCGTATAACAGCTGCTTTTGTTGCCACTGATGAATGCTCAGAATATTGATTTCTATACGTTCTGTATCTCGAAATTATATAAATCTTTAATTATTTTGTCTTTCCATTATGATGTATTCCTGAAATAAATATTATTCCTCTAAGTGCACAATGGAATAATTTTAATGGCCAGCAGTATACCAAAAGATGCATAAGAGAGCTTCAAAAGCTATCTCTAAGCCATATCTGTAATTAATTGTCCTTTTAAATAGAAAAATGTATTGCAGTTCAATACTAAGCAGAATGGGATAAAACTTGTTATCACGAATGAAATTTTTTATCAAATATTTTATCTTGCTCAATATATTATTTATACTAAAACTTAAATTAGATTCATAAATATTTTCAAATTAGTAATGATGTAACGAATTGCTCACTAAACGTTCTTATTATTATTTTGTGCAAAGCTTAAAGCTTTCAGTTCTGCACTTTCAAGCAAAAGGAAATATCTGAAGTTATTTCCTTTTACTTGAAAATAACAAATCTAACAGCTCTCTGATCTCTCTTTATGCTAAACAAACTAGTTAGACAGTCAAAATATTTGACAAAATACTCACAGGTGAATTGGTGGATAAAGTCGAAGAGATTCGTGCAGCACATTATCCAAGTACTGTAACTTGTTCACTGAGTAGTAATCCAGCTCATTCTAATAAAGGAAACAGTATATTAGTTTCTCGAATATCTAAAAGCAAATTCATAAATGGACAGCTAGTTTAACATGCATTTGTTTGCTTGAAACATTTATATTGGCATACGGTTTGATTTTGTGAAAGTATAATTCAGTTGCGTTTTCGATGAAAATTGCAGCAACCATATTGACGATTAGCTAGGAGACATATATTAGGGCATAGATTGCTTTGACTTCATCATAGACGTATACTACTGGTATATGTTTAGTATTAAAAAAAAATGCTGGTACGTCAAGCCATTGGCACAGACCCCAGAACAAATGCCATTACAATCCATTTGTAGTTAAGAGATTACTATAAATCCATTGCTTATGTCATATATGAATTCTCATAATATTTAAGTGAGTAATGTAGAAAGAGTTATGTTTAAACCGATTCCAGAATTATTAAATGCAACTGATTCCTAAGCTGCTATATCAAAGGATATTACGGGAAAACCTTTTTCTTTTGACTGCTTTTAAACCCTTATACATTTTACGTTACCTTTTAAATCTGTCTCTACTTAACCTCTCAAGTAAAAGAAGTCACCTTTTAAATCTGTCTGTACTTAACCTCTCAAGTAAAAGAAGTCAAAAACTAATTATACAGTTCATATAATCTAATAGAAACTTTTATCTAATATATAGATATTATATTTATCTAATAGATATCTAACAGCAACTTTGTATTTCAACAGCCGGGTAAGCGCATCCATAATGAGAAATGTTCAGACGTTAGAATTCTATTTTCTTTGCACATAAAATATCTGACGAGGGAAGACATTATGGTGCGAAATCATATTGATATAAAAAAAGGTTAATTTACAAAAATGAAAGAAAAGATTCGACGCTGATAATTGATTACACAATTGGGACAAAGGTAAACTTTTATCTCAGTTTTAACTGAAAATAAGTGTTTTGAGAGAACATTATATTCAAACAATAACAAAAAAGAGAAAACTAAAAATGTTCAAAAAGGTCACATATAATTGAAAATTCTGCACATAAATTTTGAGAATGAAGATAAATGTACCTAATTAAACATAAATTAAAAATATTCCAATGATATCACGTATTTGTTCCTCTCTTCCATACATGAAGGTTTACTAAACCTGTACACACATTAGGTTTTTTTTATTTATTTATTTATTTATTTTATTTTTTTAAAGCTCTGGAGACATAAAAAATGAGCAATGCCCTCACCAGGACTCGAACTACGGACCTCTCGAATACACGTCGAGCAAGCTGACCACTACACCACGAAGGCATGCTAAGAAGGCGGGAGAAATACCTTATAAATCCAAAACTTTTGAATTAACTTATCGGAGATTTTCAGTCATTAGTTTTTAGATAGTAATTAATGGCTTTGACTACTTATAGTAGTTAACCAACATTTCAATAAACCAGAAGATTACATTTAAATGTTTTCAAACTTCTTCGCAAATGACGCAGTATCTCTGAACAGATAGTTTTCCTTAAGTGATAGTACCCCTTCATTTAGCAGATAGCCCTTGGGTACTTTGCCATAATCAGATAAACCAAACCAAACCAACTCAGGCCACAAAATCTTACTTTCAATCAGTATACAAAGAATTGTTTTCTGCTATTAATGCTTTTCTCATCTTTCCTTCTCGGCATGCTCTGAAACAAACTGCCGTTAAATTTATAATTTTTATTGGTAAATGTTTTGATGACCTTTTTGTTGGGAGATTATAGTACAATAATTTTACTTATGATCGCAGGTCATTATTTTATTTGTAATCCAAAGCGTATAAATATCTTTTACAATGAATATGGTATATGTTGGTAAATTATATTAATGCATAAGTCATTGATTTCTTTCATCCAAAATTCCTTGAAAATGAAATTCCATAAATTCCACATTATAATATTTTCCATATTATAATATTTTCAAGAAAATATGTGCATTCACGCAACATATTTGTTAAACTGAAAGTGTATCTCACATACACGAGGGAAAATATTTACTGATATTAATTTGTAATATTATTTCCTATAACAAATTTGACTTAAATGTTATTAAGCATCTGTGAATAACAGAATGGATTTAAAATCAATGCAGTTAACCAAAGGTTCAGGCTCTAATTTTATAAATGAGTAAAAAATAATAGGTACTTTTGTTTCACAAATATAGAAATTCATTTGCATTCAATTACGAAAACTTATTATTTATTTATTAAAAATTTTACAACCTCAGACTTCAAGAGCTGTAGCACTTCTTCCCTTACTCTATCTTGTACCTCGGGGTAATGGACGAGAAGATGTGTAGTGAAAGCCAGAGCTGTGCTTGTAGTTTCGTAGCTTGATAAATATATCAAAATAAGTAAATAAATGAATAAATAAGCATTAGTAAGCAATTTATACTAAAAATAAGCAATTTATTCTAAAACTATTGTCAGCGGGGAGTTGTGCATCATTAATATAGAAAACTGCATTAATTTCTGGTAGAAAGGTGAACCTAGATATTAAAACTTTATAAAATTGCATGCTATTAAAATGCGTAAAGCTCAATCACATTACACACTGACTGTGCTTAAGTACATAAAAAGCAATTAAAATTTATAATTAAGAGCAATTAAAATTTATAATTAAGAGTTAATTTTACTTCAACACTTCGTTTAAAATTAGATAAAATTCTGTTTTAGGCTTATGCTAATTTAATTTAAAAAAAAAAAAAGAAACAACGAAACAAAAATACACATTTCGAGATAGATTGACTTGGGTCACTGTTTTCCAAGGAGATAATTTTTTTTTTTTTTTTTTTTGAGGAGTATTTGAAAATATGTTGGCTCTTTAAATAAGAGGAATTCATGTCGTTTTTCTTGAAATGTGTGAGTTTTTCTGTAAAAATTTCGGTAATTAAAGTTTGCTCAATTTAAAACTGGCGGTCGCCCAGCCAGCATAGTGGACAGTAAAATGACTGCTGTACGGCTGGGTCTGGGCTAGAACCCCGAAAAGGCATGGATGTTTGTAAGTGGGTATAAAGTAGCAGGGCTCCTCGTGGGTAACGCTTAATCTGTTTACAATGATTGTCGCTCTCCTCTTCCTCTTAATGACAGGAGAGTCAATGAATTAGCATTTGTTTATTTAAAACTGCCATAGTTTTACTCCCATTTATTACTTCATTATCAGTTTATTTAAATTAATTTTTTTCCGTACATCTCATGATTTCCATGAATCGCATGGAATCATGAGATGTACGGAATGAAGAATTGAGAGAATTGAATTTCCATGAGAATTTTTCATCTCATGGAAATTTCCATGAATTCATTTAATAAAATATTTTTCCCATATTCTCAGCGACAAGATTTTCATTATATGGCATATGAATTTTTGCTAGTTAAGAAACTAAGAAACTAAGAAACCTCAAACCGCATCAAACGCTAGTTTTCTAAGGTCTTCTATGTAATCCATTGGCCACGTTTGGAAGTAGAATTATTTCAACTTATTCTCTCTGAGATACAATGTTCCCGTTAAAAATGGAATCTGGTACGTATTCATAATTTTATTAAATACTAACAGCAGTGAAATATTTACGTTTTCAATCTAATATAGCTTGGTTTCTAAATTACCTGAACTTTATTTCAACAACTATAAAATTCTGCGAGAAACTAAACCATTAATAGGCAAACAGTTAATACTGCTAAATTTTGGTAGATTCATCCTATGTTCGACAGCCTTCAAAAAAAATTATTTTCCATGAAATTTCCTTAATCTTCTTTACGCCCTTCGAAATTAGTGAGACTTTTTCTCTTAAGAAGTCCGCCACTTTTCCAAGATGTGTATTCGTTTCCTATGATGTGCCTCAATAAACTAACCAAGCTGTACAAACTCCACAGAAAATAGTGTTATCTTATGCATATGATTGAATTTATTTTCATTCTGGTGTTTACAGGAGTTAGCTCAGATCCTGGAATTGAATGGACGAGTTTAAGTGTTAGAATCCGAAACTTCGCCTTGACTAAACCAATAATTCTTTTATAACAAATAGTATATTATCAGTCAATCAACAATAAGTTCTGTAGGAAAACAAAAGCAGACGGAATTTAACTCGTATATTTTTGGTCGTGCAATGATGGTTTACTATTTCTGGTATAAGGCTATTAATGGTAAATTAAGACTAAATTAATACATGCTTATTTTGATGATGATTTTAATGAATTATATGAAATAGTCATCTTAAACTGATAGCACTTGTTAATGAAACGAACTTATGTTTTTACCCAGCTAAGAAGAAAAGAACTGAATTGTCTAAGATATCAGCGTCAGTCATTTGCCGGACCAATCTTCCAGATGATGAGCCTAAATAAAAATGAAAAAGAGTAAATTTTTATTTAACATTTAGACTCTGTTTATTAAATTTTCTAAAATGAAGGAATCTAAAAATGATAATTATTTTCTCCTTTCTCTTATGAAATATTTTCGGTAAAAAATTTTAAGAATTATAAAATAAATAACACAAATAATACGCTTTATGAAATATAGCGCATTCCAATCAGTCATCGATATTTCTAACAGAAACTAAAAGCAAATAAATAAAATAAAGAACCCGCATGATGAGTATTGTGATGTATATGTTTGTAGAGGTGCTTCTAGAGCTGGCTTTACTCTAACCTTTTTTTCTTTTCCTAATGTCCAATCATTACGCTACTTTTTTTCTGGAAGAATTATTTATTTTAAGATTTGCTTTATTTAAAATGTCTCATTCTGATAATTTAAAAAACCTCTCATACCGACACAAGCGGTACAGATCAAGAATGACAGCAAGCAAAGTTTTAATAAAAAAGAAAAAAGAAAATTTTGAAGATGCAGAATTATAAATAAATAAAATAAACATTTTATGTTTGTTTGGATATTTGAAATATTGCTGAAACCAATGACAGAACTAGTTGAGTGTTACAAATTACTAGCTTCAGTTTGCTGAATAAAATGTATAAAATAACCATCTTCGTAAGCTCTCTTTATCTTATTCTGCGTATCCGTAAAGTCACTTCATTCACTGAACGCAGGAGGTAACTGGTAAAAACAAAGTGTGGCTTTGATGATTCAGTAGTAGCATACTCGTCTGCACCCCAAGAACGACCACTTTCGACTCCTGGCCAAAGTACGACTCTAATAATGATCATAGCTCAAAACTTTATAGCAATTTCTACCACTATTTTTGTTATCACCAGATTTGACAAGAATAATGTTGCCTATTCCTTCATCAAAGTATAATTAGCCACATTACTTACCATTATAACCTTTAACGTAGACCAATATTTTAAAATATGTGCTAAACGCGAGCGAACTTTCAGATGAATTTATTTAATTGAGATATCTGCTAGCAATGAAAGAACTCTCTTAGCTCTTTGCTTTCCTGAAATTCTTTATATTAAAAGAAAAATGTATTTCACAAATTATTTCAGGCGAAGACTAGGTACAGGAAGCATTCTCCCCCATAATGCGAAATAACACTTAAACTGTTTTGTTTAAGAGTTTATATGTTGCATGGATATCTATGATTCTATTTAAAAAGAAAGTATAAACAAGGGCTATACAATAAAATTAAAACATTCAGCTGTCAAAAGTGACTGACTACTAAATATTAACTAAAGAGTATATTCATTAAGTAGTTGATTTTTATGGAGACGCTATTAAGAATATTTATGCCGTTTCAGTAATGGGTGATCCGTAAACTGCGGCTCTTTGAAGAACCAGTACAAAAATTTGATGGAATCACATAAGCACCATTTTGTTCGAGGACCTTTTTCCCATCTCTTCAACAGCTGCAAAATTCTATTTTTATGAATGTCATCAGATTTATTCATAAAAACTTTATCGAGGTGCTGTTTGACAGTTTCCAAAGAAACGAACTCCAGGCAATTAAAAGAATTTCGAAGTGGCCTGAAGAGTTTAAAATACAACGGGACAAAGTTTTGTGAACATGGAATGGTGACACAAAACAAGTAGGCCAGCTCTTGGCGTTTTGCTTCAACTTCTGCTTTTAAAACTGCCATTTGGAAACAGTATTTTCCGAATTTGTAGTCTGATTTGATAACAACAGTTCAATTGTTTTTTGCAATGTGACCATACAAAGCCCCCTCTTGATGTTACGACAGGAGGGTCTTTGGGCTTAACCTAGGACCTTTTGTTTTGTAACATAACGGCATAGTATCTTCTCATATCCAGTAATGATCCGTTTAAAAAAAAGCTTTTCTTCCAGCAAATAATCACAGGCCGAAACTCGAGCAAACATAATCTTCTCGTTTAAAATAGGGAGCACCTATATACCGAAGAAGCTTACCTAACAGATCTTCAAATGGTCGTGTACTGTATTTTTTAAAATATTTATAATATCCTATAGTTTCTGAACTGTTTAAGGGTAACTTTTGGTAATAGCTTCTCTTAAAAGGTCATTGTTTACATAGGATGGTCGTCTAGAGCAGGTATTATCTTCAAGGCTCAAATTTCCATGCTTAAACTTCTCAAACCGGCTTTGAATAATTTGAACCGTGTCATCAGAAACAGCACTTTGTTCATGTATAGCATAAATTTTACAAGCAGTCTAACTAGTGATAATTTTCTTTTTTAGAATAAAATAACATAATAGGACGAAAATAAACTTGTGTGTTCACCATTCTTAGCACTGCACTGAAACAAAAATTATGCTACAATACATTCTAGAACTATACAACGTCAGCAGAAAGGATAGTATTTAAACATTTGCTTCGATGAAGGTCAGTCCTTAGCAGCAGCAGCAAAATAACTAGAAGAAAACGCACTTCGATTTGGAAAACTGCAGAATTTTCCGCTTGACTTGGATACGTACTTGGAGAAAGGCGAAATTAGTGCATAAAAAGTAAACATGTAAATGCTAAATTAAATTGTTATAAATATTTTTGCTACTGAATACATTGCCTTAAATTCTTAATAAAACTGCAAAGAAAGAAATAAAAATCAATTCAAGCTTATGCTTCTTGGGCAGGTTAACAAATAGGACAAACCTGTTGTTTTCTTTTCAGTGTTCTCATTATCATCTTTAGCTGTAAGTTCTTCAGTCGTGACAACGGATGTGTCGTCCACCTCAGCATCTATCATCAGTTGCAGCAGATCGGGTCGTCGACTCTAAAGTTGAATTAAAAATATTTGAAAAATAAATTAACTTTCTTATGTGAAAAGAAGTTGATTATTTGCTAAGAAAATCTAAAATAATACTACTTAACCATTATAAATGTTGCTATATAATTTCGTTACAAGCAAGCATGCATAATATCATGGATATTTAAAATAACTATTACTGCTAGATTTTTCCTGTTAAAAGAGTTAAAATGAAACAAAATTTATTCGACTTATAGATTTCGAATTTTCATATAAAATTTAATGAAACGTGAAAAATTTGTGATAGCGTGAGTATTAAAACAAGTAGCTTGTTTTAATGGCATTTGTATGATATCGAGATATGGAACAATGTTTCAGTTCTTCTCATTTTTAGATTTGCATATCTGAAACAAAACACGTAATTAAAAGATTAATTCTTAATTATTTTTATATATTCGCTACATAACGGCAGCAACAATATGGATACCATCCTGTTTGGAACGTACCAAATTAAATCGCATTTACCATGAAGTATTTCAGATAATTCGTCAATCACGAAGTCAAAAGCGTCCAGTATAGAAATGTTCAAAAATCGTATTACATTTAGTATACTTATTATCATACGTTGGCAAGATTTTATATATCAAATTGCAGCTTTGTCAGGACGAATTATTAGGAGCACAAGCCCCATCAAGCAGAATAAGGAGGCTGTTAAGTTTCTTTGCGCATTATAACTGTAAATTTCTCACAGTAAAAATTGACTAGTATGTGCCTGAAAAGCAATTTCTGAAGTTCTTTTACCTTGAAAACATGAAATTTTTTAAATACTTCAGAGGTATCCTTCCGTTGTTATTTCCCCACTGAATTTCGGAGCGAGAAACGCGGAAAATGAACATTGTCCTTGCCGTGATTCAAGCCGCAGATTTTCTACTTGGCACCTAGACCAGCTAACCACTTACGGCACTAGCGTAAGTCAAGGGAAATGCGGTAATTCTGCATTCCCCCTTTACTCGCTTCTTACATTCCGTTTTAAAATGCAACTCGGAAGAGGCACAAGACACAGTCGACCAAATCCAGTTTCTAACAAGTTATTGCCTACTATGTTTTAATTGAGATGGCACTGTAGAGAACATTAGATTTCGTCGGAGCAAGAAATATGAAAAATCAACTGTGCCTTCGCGAGGATTCGAATAATGGATTTTTCAGTTGCTAGATGGACGTGTGAACCAGTTACACGTCCAACAGCACTCACGGGAGAATGCGATAATTTCTTAAAACTTATATAACTTTGTTCCAAATAAATGATTACGTATTTAAACTGCTGAGAATCAAAGGATTCGCTTAAGATTGAAACTATTAGACAGGAAAGTATTAAAGAAATTATTAGGAAGGAAAATATTAAAAATTACATGCTCAAATAAAAACTGTTAGAGAATTAATATTACATTAAATCTAGTTAAGCAATTAAAATATTACCTCCTTATCTTTTCTTCTCAGATTTATGACATTTTTCACCGATTCTATGAGCTCATTCACGGGATTTGTCCCTTTGTTCTTAATTGCGAGTCTCATTCTATTCACAAAAGACCAGAATCTTTCTAGTCTACGAAAACTGACTGCAATATAAAAACATTATAAACAATACAAAAACAATATAAAAACATCTTTCCTCTCTATTAATTTTAAAATATCTCAGTTTTTATCTGGTCTTGCAAGTTACCTGTTTCGTTACAATCTAAGATCAAATAATTTCTGATAGAGTTAAAAAAAAAGTACCTCAAGATGTGGAACATTTAATTTTTTCCTGCCCTACCTTTGATGGCCCTAGATTATGCTTGCAGAAAGATATGAAAAAAGTTCGGAAGAATGTATTGCAGAAATGCTAAAGAACAAAATTATAATCCCCATAAGTAGCCCTTGCGCTAGTATAGCGCGGAAAAGAAAAATAATTTCCCACCTAACGGATTTTAAAGCATGCGTTTTGCTGCTGACTATAGAAAACTAATTAGCATAACAAAATATCCAGTTTACCCCTTACCAATGATAAAGGAAATCCTTCGAAAAATAAAATCCACAAAATACATAACGACACTATACCTAACCTTTGGATATTTTCAGATATGGGTGAATCCAAAGGATGTGCCAAGAACCGCATTTATTACCAAATCAGGAGTTTATGCATTCCTTAGAATGTCGTTAGACTTAAGCGGAGCAGCCGCCATGTTTCAAAAGCAATGGATATTATTCTAAGACCTGTCCTCAAAAATTTACGTTTATTTACTTAGACAATATAATACGTACTAGCAAGACGTTTTATGAACATACTGGGGAGCAGGAAATATTTTAATTTCCTAAAAGAAGAATGTTAAAAATAAATGCGTAAATGCTAATTTACGGCTTCAGAAATCTATTCTCCAAAATCCAGCTGCTTCCCCTATTTCTGGATTCAGAGCACATATTTACCTTGTCAATTTTTTTCAATTAAAAAATCTGCTGAGGCTGTTGGAACTTTTCATAGGATAGAGGGCGCTGTTGCGCCAAAGGAATTCTGTTTTTTTTTTACATTATGTAACTGTGGTTCACCATTGCGATGTGTGTGTATTGCTGTGATATATTTTGGTGTTTTCATTAAATATAAATGAAAGATATCGTCATGAATTTTTTGTATCCAAATCAAGATCAAATTTACCACTGATGCATATTCGTCGAAACAAAATTAACGTTCGAACAAGAATCGTCAAGTTATTACTAGCCTTTCGAACTACGCATTAGTATCGTTAATCGCTTCGTAACAGAGGCAAACAAGGAACACTCTGATTTATTTAAACCTTCGTTGTCTAGAACGACCTGATACAATGCATTTCCTTAGATGGTCCACCATCTCTTCTTCAAGCATGGAGAGGTTTGCTTTTCGGCTCACCAAATACATCTTGAATGTAAGCATTGGACATATCATCGATTTGCTGCGCACGTGTGAGTTGCAGTCTTTCAGCTTGCCGCTTTGCATCAGCTGCACGATAAAATGTGTTTTTGAGACCATTTCTGAAAAACAGGCCAATTAGTAAATGTGTCTTGATTATTATCGAGTCACTGCCGAGCCGTTCCGGCGGGACAAAATATGACGTTCGCCAAACACATTTGATCACCCCAGTGGCGATTCTATCGAAGTTCTTGAGCCATCTGTTGGTATCTTATTGGCTGTCCCCAGTGAATATACACGGGCTTCTGGGTAGCTGGTAAGTCAGGATCGGTTCTGATGCTATGTTATTCGGAGCGGAACTTGCTCTTCTTCTCTTCCCATCAACTATCTTCCTCGATATAAAATGAGTAATGCTACAACCTTGAGTTTGGCGTAGATATAGTCAAAATCTCAATCCATTTCAAGGGGAAAGAGGTGCAGGTCCCTCTTCATCAAGGGCAAAGAAATCTACGAGACTGGAAAGCAGTGAGCGCAACTGTCGTATTCAGAGCTTAAATTGCGCCGGAGCCCACAGAAGCCCGGCTCCGATACATCTTAGTTTTTGGGATAAATCATAATTTAGGGCACCGGAGCCCTAAATCAGGGGGCTCCGGCGTTTACGTAGCGGATTTATTTATTTATAAAATTATTTAATTACGTTTATATTTAATTATTTAACTATTTTAATAATAATAATTAATTAATTACTTTCATTTAATTAAATAATAATTGACAAATACTAATTATTAAAATTAATTAAATAATAATTAGTTTTCGTAATAATTAACTATTTAATTTTTAAATTATTAATGATTTTAATAGTCATTTTATTTATTTATTTACTTTTGTTCCTCTTTGCTGTCGGTCTTCCATAGGACTCCGGCGCTTCTAATCTTAGAAATTAAGCCCTAACGAATGAGAAGTTAGTGCCATCTATCAGCAATACTATGACTTTAAGTCCAATCCAGTCCTTCTTAACGTTTTTAAAATTCTATGAGCTTAATTTTTCAATTTCGTCACTTCGGTCGTTATTTTTGCTAAAGCATGCAAAAACCCCAACTTAAGTACCATCCAAGATGATTTGCATTCTGATGAGGAATATGGAAAGAATTATATTAAATAATTCAAATCATAATAACTGGTTAGTTTAAAATAAGAACCTTACAAAAGCAAATCGCATTCAGATAATTATGATTTATTATAACTTAGAATACGTATGCTTACTACTATCCTCATAATAACGTGCTATTACATATGAATAGCTTTAATGGGTATTATTTATAAACATTGTGACAAAACATACTGTAGGACTCTGTGCGTGATTCCAGAGTTGAGACATGTAATGTTTTTGTAGAATTTCATTTGGATGAAGTCTGATATAATTCTTCATGTGACCATGAGTGGGGAAACTATGACTTTAAGATAATTTCCGCTATCTCATCTTCTTCTTTTGGGAAATCTTGATGTTTTACTTTAAATGTTTAGATACTGTTGCATTAAATGTAACAGTGGCACATATTCTAGCTTTGATTTCGAATATCTCATGCGGATATCGCTGTTATTTATCCTGTAAAAATAGCAAAGGATTGCTTGAACTTTTCTCCTCTGACGTCATCATTAGTTGATCAAGTTTTTTATGACCATCCTGCATTCCTCAATAATTAAAAAGCCGAAATTTTGATTGACACGCACATTTTGAACTCATATCTTTCCTGTTTTAAGTCGGAATCCACACCATTAAATTTTAGGAGGTTTAATTACTATTGTGTTTAATCTAATTATAAAAACAGTAGCTTCATAATTTTCAGCAAAGATGCAGATAGACTATATTGTCCTGAAACCTACAACACTCTCAATTTGAATAAGAATTCATGGTGCTGAATACAATACAGGAGACGGGAAAAATGTGCAATTTCTTCACCAGGATTTGAACTCCAAACCTCCCGAATACGCGTCATGTGTTCTTCCAGTTACACCCCAAAAGTATGCGGAAAGAAGAGTGAAAATTCTTATAAATTTTCAGGAAATTTTATAATTGTAGAACTCGATCATTTTCGAAATTATGTTTCAAAGTTCTCTGTGAAACATAATTATACTGTAGACCGCAGTCGTCATGTCTGAAACTTAAAGAGAGGTAATAACTTAAAGAGCGATTCAAATTTTCATAAAGTAAGCTATATTGTCTTTATATTTGCGAGTGTTTGAATTAAAGTAGAACTAAATCAAGACACGCCGATTTTTGTTTCTTTATCAATATCCAAAACTTATTGTTCTGTCATTTTTTTGCAATCGTAAGATGTCTCAAATGACATTTAATAAAAAAATTTGAGGAAAATGAAAAGTCAAATCATAATATTCCTTTTTAAAAACAGAATTAGTAATAAAGTTGCCGAGCATAGCTTGTAGAGATATTAGGTATTTTTGGAAGCAGGCAAGATGAAAAATAAGCAAACACCTTCGCCGGGAATCGAACCACGGACCTCTGGAAATACCGGCCCAGCGTGCTGAACCACTACACCACGAAAGCACGCTAGGAAGGTGGGAGAAATACCTTATATACTTCCCCTTTTAAAGGGCGTTTAGGATTTTAAGGCACCCAATCGCCAAATCCTGGGTGGGGAGAAATCATCATGCACCAGCCTTTTTAGTTCGGGCGCCACTGTAGAAATAAATTAGGCTTTTTTGGAACAAAAAAGATTAAAAAATTAGCAACGCCTTCACCGGGAATCGAACCACGGACCTCTGAAATACCGCCTCAGTGTGCTGATTACTACACCACGAAGGTACGCTAGAAAAGCGGGAGAAATACCTTATATACTCCCCTTTTTAAAGGGCGACTGGGGTTTTAAGGGACCCAGGCGCCAAATCCTGGGTGTGGAGATTCATCATCCACAACCCTTTTAGTTCGGGCGCCACTGTAGAGACATTAGGATATTTTTTGGAAGCAGGCAAGATGAAAAATTAACCAACGCCTTCGCCGAGAGTCGAACCACGGACCTTTGAAAATACCGGCCCAGCAGAACCACTACACCACGAAGGCACGCTAGGAAGGTCGGAGAAATACCTTATAAGCTAAAATCTTAAATCTAATTCATCACATAGAAATCCTGTTTCAACAAATTTAGCAAAAGTAAACTTCTGATTTTGACAACTGTATACAATAAAGTACCGTGACAAAGGATACTGCCCATTTTCCACAATTTGAACATCTGATTTTATTTAAGGATTGTTTCAACAAATTAAAAAAGAGGAATGTGAAAATAATTTACATAATGCAGCAAGTAGTTATAAAACGGAAAAGAGGAATAACAACCAGTTAACGGATGAGGATTGACTAATGTTTAAAACAGCGAATGTAGAACGAAAATTAAAATTTCAAGGAGAAAAAAAAAGTTTATGATAGTTACAGGTTTTGGCCTAACGGGGAAAGAAAACGTAAAGAAGTTTCTATATAACTCTAAGTGCTCAAACTTATAAACGTCTCGTTATAAGTCTGGATTTTGCAGATAATTGTTATCCTTCAAATTTTAATAAACGTGAAGTTCCATATATTCCTGACGAAAACTTGACGCTAAATTCAAGGTTCGTATTTTTAAAACACCATCGTTGTGAACACTGTCACTCAGAGTTTCTGTGGTAGATTTCTAGTTTATTTCATTTAGGAAGGAAGAGAAATATAAAAAGAATATGTTATAGAGAAACTAAATATCAGTACCTGCTATGATAAACAGAGCACTACGAATATCTCCTGAGAAAATAACTCTAGCTGATCTGAGAAAAGGATCATTTGGATCGTTCTGAACATCTGTCTGGATTCCAAATGCTGATCTGCCAATGACATCCATGGTGAGGCCTTGATACATTGGGTAAATATCAAAAGATTCTCCAGCTTTACTTTTCTTTTCCACATTGTTAATCAAAGAATCAATGGCATCGTTTATTATAGGAGCCATCTAAAATTTCAGAAATGTTTAATCTTAACAGCGGATTTTAGACGTAAAAAAACATTAAATTAGAAGTATAATAAATGTTGCTCAGTTATACATAGTACTTTATATGTTAATTCGTTTGCATTTACATTTTTGTCCACAATCACAGAATACTTCATAGATCTTTTTTACGCAATATACTTTATATGTTAATTCGTTTGCATTTACACTTTTGTCGACAATCACAGAATACTTCACAGATCTTTCTTACGCAATCATAGATTTCAGTATGCTTGGAATTTTTGACATTAGTACGTTTGAATAAAGCTACATTGTACTTACTATAAAAGGCGCGAGTACATTAATTAGAATGATAAATTAATGATAGCTAGAAACAATAATATTCGATATGCTAGAAGTTTCTCTTGCTAAGATATTCAGAATGTTTCTAAATTTAACATTAAAACTGCAGATGAAATAAAGGAAAGTGTCGTTTATTTGAAATGATTTTTCTTCTCGTTCTCTAGCTTACAAATGAATAGTTATCGAAAATGTAAGATAGAAATTAAAGGAATTAGCATTTTATTTAATTTATTGCAACTAAACAATATGTAATTTTACCGATGTGGTAAAGAAAATCAGGTAACTTACTGTGGACAGGTGTCTAGTTTTATTTTTCTATTGTCACTAAACCTGAAGCATAATATAATTAAGAAGCGATTATAAACAGTACAATAAAAATTACTTTTTTTTTGGTATATATTTATATATAGAGAGATAGGTCGATAAATATGGAAGGCGTCCAATAAATTTTATGCCTAAGACATTTGTACAAAATAATGTCCAAAATAAGAGTTCCGATTTTCTGCATAATTCCCATTGACATCGATACATTTAAGATAGTGATCCATTGAGCTTCGAATTTTAGATATGAATAAAAGAAATTTTGCAGCTCTGTACGCTATTTCTAAGCATCATCCTATAAATCACCATCATCGCCGTAACGTGAAGCACGAAAAGACTGTACATTTTCAAAACAAAATGTCACGTGAATCCAGGTTTGGTAAATATCGTGGTTGGAGAAAATGGAATCCGGTTTGCTAAATAGTAATCTGAGAAATTTGTCTCCAGTGTACTGCTTTCGTGGAAGGGCTCTCGTGGAAAATCAAAACATATTTTTTTTTTTTTTTTTTTTAGTTTCACATAGTATTTTGCCTTCACTGTTGGACGGAGTTCAGTCAACAGATTAGCATAACAAACAACTGTTACCACTTTTACTTTTTGGCTTACAATCAATCAGCAATGATCCCTTTTCATCCCAAAAAAAATTATACCCAAACTTTTCCCAGCATACTTCTGTGTCCTGAAATCGTGGCATAGGGAATATTTACTGTATTTCCACGCTATGTTCCTTTGTTTAATTTTTAGCACATTGAAATCACACTTCATCTGTTATCATTAGCCATGAATACAAATTTTTGTTGGCGTAAATTGTGGAGAGCTATTCTCAAAGATGTTAGACATAGTGCTTTTTTTTTCCTTACTTCAACATTCTGAGTGACTATATAGCTCTGAACTTCGACTATTCTAGCTGTTAGTGTAGAATTTTCTGGCATGCTGATCCAACACTGATTACGGATTTCGTAGCAATCCCAGAAGCATTTACTAGTCAATTCCATCACGGATTCCTGGACTTAAGCTACCAGTTTTTCAGTGGTCACATCCAATGATCACATTGCAGCCTGATTTGGGGTCATTTTCCAGTGACGTTCTTCCCTATATAAATAAAACAGTCCTCATTTTGATGGTGACTCAGGAAGGTGCTGTATCACCACAGATTGCAAATATATGTTCACGATTATTTGTTGGTGTCATGCTATCTTTTGTAACGAACTTTATTACCGACAGATGTTTGATTTTTTTCCAATATTATGAGGCATGACCACATTTAACAGCCTCTCAAAAACCAAATAATAACACTTGGTATGTGTTCTCTTTACTTTTTATGCTTTATTTATCTCACAAGTATTCCACCAGTACTTAATATTAGGACTTACTGTACGCCCCCTCGCATACATTTCTTAACAGATGTATTCTAATTTTTTAAGTAAATATAATTTTTCTGAAAAATTGTTGCTTTCGAATACTATCACATAAAGATTTGCAGATCAGAATGAAAATTTAATTTCATAAACCGACTTTATAGTAACAGTGCCAAATAGAAATTTCATAAAGCATACTTTCCAAATTTGAAGAATGATGCACTTCATACAAATTTTCACCTTAACAATAAATACTTACTTGTTTCATCTTTGCAGCAGTAAATGAAGGAGTGAGAATAGATCGAATGTCTTTCCATTTTTTATCTTTCAGGATGACAAGCTGTTGACTGAATCCTTCAACACGACGCATTTCGTTAGGTTTTCTGCGCCTTCCACGAAATAAGCTCTAACAAAAGTAAAGTAATAAAAATATAATATTAATTCCTTTTTGTCATTTTGTAAGGTTTATCATAAGTTTTTAAGAGTTAATTTTTTAGTTAAAGCCATTTTCCTGTCTCTTCTAATTTAAGCTTACAAATTTCCTGCCAGAACGTGTTTTCAGAATCGCAGTTAAATGCAAATGAAAGAAGAGACAGTATTTAAAGTCCGAGTCCTGCTGACTTCGTTAGAGAGCCAGAGATTCTGACCAGCGCGCGTTCACCTTTTGGCTATACTATCGCTAAGCTATTTCTACGCTCAGCCGTACTTTAGGCCCTTGATAGCTTCGCCGTTTAGTTAGCGTTAAGAGGCCAACTCCTATAGAATTTTGATAGCTTCGGCTATATCCTTTTATTTAAGTCTAGTTAAGCTTTATTTTTCTTAGTATTCTTGAGTTCAAGCCCAAGTAGAGGTTTCTCTGTACGCCCTGAGAGAGCACCAACTGTGAAATTTATTTGAGCAATAAAGGGTAATTAAACCTTCGTGAGTTTACGTTTCTATCTTTCTGAAATAAGCGATTATTTTCTTACTAGTTCACAAGGTTCTACACATTTAGCTGTAAATTCTAGGTTGGAACATTACAATTTTTTGTCAGGCTTGTTAATATTTCTATATGCAACTTACTAACCATTCAGATAATATTAAAAGTCTTAAATCATATCTTATTCTGAGAAAGAATATTACTGCATTCATTTTTAATTATAGTTTACTGAACAGAACTTATTTGCCAAAGCTTAAATCCGCTTGCAGGTGAGATTTTCCCATTCCAAAATTTAAAATTCATATTATGCGCTGTCATTTCTTTCTTTGGCCATTCTGATATCACGGAATGGTAGAAGATAAAAATGCTTTTCTTTGATTAATGTAAAATTTTCTTTTATTACATGAATTATCAATTAAATTCCCTATTTTTTATTCTATCATATTCTTTGTTCTATACTTATGAAGTTTACGTTAATTAACCAATTATCTTACTTTTTTATCTATGTTATCATTCCCACTTCCATCCACTAAGGATTCAAATTAGTTACGTGTATATCAAAAGAGAGTTCTTGAAAGTTAGAGAGTGAGCTTTGGCAACAACACTGAACTTCGTGATATGTCGTCGCCCAGCTCTGGGAATCACCTTAGACCAGCGTTAGCCTTTTGCTAACCGAGTTTGTTCACACTTATAGAATTCTGAGCCAAAGCTTGATAGGACTTGTGAATTTTTAATAGTTAATTACGTTAAATTTTAATTTACATTTTATCTCAGTTTAAATCCCTCAATCTGTAGATACTGAATTTTAAGCACGAGCTGTGCTATTGTTAAGTTTTTAATAGAAAGGTTTCTTTAATCCTTTTCACATGTGTACAGTTGCTTTAACTAAGACGGGGCATTTAAGTCTCCTGACAATCTCACAAGAACCAAACTTTAATTAAGTAAGTGAGAGGTTTGTTGGAAACTTATCTTCCACAGTCAATATCATTACTTACAAGGACATCTTTCTGTACAATATTACCTCATCTCCGAGTTCTGAGAAAAAAGACATTTTTCCGGTAACCTATATACGTAGCACATACAAAGAAACTTTGCAGATCAGAAAATTATTAGAACCTTCTCACTTTCATTTTCTTTACGAATTATTACCTCATTTTAACCAAATTTGTTTAATTTTTTTTTTAATTTCTGAACTGCATATTTGATAGAAGATTTAAACATCACAATATTATTCCTAAATTTATAAAAGGCAAATGTAGCCTTAAAGCTTACCGTTCCGAAAATTATGCATCAATTAAAATTGTCCCTTCTTCGTCCGCAATATAAGAAACACGGGAAACCTTTTATCTAAAACTGAATATGAGTTATATTATTGTCATTTAAAAATTGCCAATTCTTTTTTTTTTTAATTTTCCTCATTTGATTATAACTCAAATGATGAAAAGTTTACGGTTTGGTCTAGAACCAATAGCCCTTGTTTCTGAGCTCCAAAAGCTCGCACCCTAGTGGGCTAGTCCCATCCATCCTGTAAATCTCCCCTCTGTAAATACTAAACCCATTGTTAATATCTTTAATGTTAATCATTTGGAAAATCAGATGAAAGTATTAAAATATAACTTCAGTTCTTCTAAACCTATTTTCTCCAATTATATTTATTTTTCTTTCAATTTTCACAATTTTTCTAACTAAAGACATCTAAACCTTCAGTTCCTCAAATCATCATTCCAGTCGAAAAAGCTTTTAAAATTTTTAAAATTTCAGAAACACAGAAAGATACAATCTGCCACTTAATTGCTCATAAAGTGACTTTTAATAACAAATCGTTTGTTTTGAATCTTAACTAAAGGAAAAAAGAAGGCCTTATAAAGACATTAGGTATTTTATAAGCAGAAGACATGAAAAATGAACAATTCCCTCGTCGGAACTCGAACCTGGACCTCTCGAATACACGCTGTGTGTGCTAGCATTTACACCACGAAGACATGCTGGAAGGAAAGAGAAAACAACCTTATGTACTCCCCCTTTTAAAGATCGACTGGGGATTAGGGGACCCCATCGCCAAATCCTGGTAGTGAAGAATTATCATCCACCACTTTCTTTTTTAGTTCGGACGTCACTACAGAGTCAGGTTATTTTGAAGCAGGAGAAGTGAAAAACAAGCAATGCCCTCACCGGTACTCCAACCCTGGACCTCTCGAATACGCACCGAGTATGCTAACCGTTACACCACGAAGGCATGCTGAAAGGAGAGAGAAAATATCTTATAGCCTTGCGTGAAATTCATTCTAATCCTAACGTTATAATTTTCAAAGCTGATAAAGGTGGACAGATCAATGGAGTCAGGAAACTGAGTAATGAAGCTCGATCCATAAAGATCCTTCAACTTCTGACTTCACGAAAGTTAAAACAGCTCTTAAGTTTTCTCACATACTCAAACCTCAGTTTAAGAAAACCTTCATTCCACCTATTGCTAACTACACTAGGCTTTATTGCTCCCTCCAAAAATCCACAAAATTTGAATTTCTTTTCGACCTATAGTTTCTAACTTAGAAACGGCATCATTCCATTTGGCGAAGTATTTAGTTTCCTTATTTTCTCCTTTGCTTAGTAACAATATTCACATTTTAAAAAATTATTTTGAAGTCGTCGATAAAGTTAAAGCTCTTTCTCCTCTGCACTCCATTATGGTTTCTTTTCATGTTAAATTATGTTTACTAATGTTGCAGTCGAAGGAGCCTTAAAATGTCTTGAAATTATGCTTCGAAAATTCTGTTCCCCACATACTGAAATTAAAGAGCTAATAAAGTCTCTTTGAGTCAAATACACTTTGTTTTCCAAAAATGAATATTATCGCCAAACTGAATGATTACATATGGGTAAACCTTTCAGCCCTCTACTTGCTGACATTTACATGCATTGTTTTTGAAGTCAAATTACTTGAGAAACTACCTTTGCGTCTCTGGATTCGTTACTTAGACTTCATTTTCGCTCTTTTTGATGGTGGTATAGAATAATTATCCCAGATATTATCTGCTATAAATTGGATTCATTCAGCCACACAATTCACTTTTAAAACTGAACCAACAATACCCTTCCCTTACTTGATATTCTTATAATCCGCAATACAGCTGAAGCTTGGAATATTGTTTCTTAATTTTAATAACATATATTTTATATAGAGCCAGAGATAATAAAATTCTTCTAATATTATCTGTTCTTGATTTCATATATTTTCCTTCACTCTCGTTGAAGCATAACCATTTTAAAAGAATCCAAGTCCCTCTTTACTAAATTTATAAAAACGTTTTGCGATATGTTAAAAAGTCTCTATTTACTTAATTTATGAGAACTATTTTAATAGCCCTTCCTTAATTTATAAGAATTTTTATTATAAAATTTCTTTAATTTAGAAGAAAATTCCCATTTATTTAATTTATAAAAAAAATTACAATGTGTAGTGACGTTTGTAATCGCCCTGATTAAATAACAGATGGAAAATGAAACCGTTTTTGTAAAAGCTAATTGCTATAGTTGTTTCATTAATGCATATTCGAAAACATTGCCTTCGGTATCTTAGGCTTAAATATATTCAGAGCTATACTTGCATATTTTATTTGCCTTCTCAAATTAAATGCAAAATTTGCAGATATAACGTATATACATATATATGGCAAGACACCCATTAATACAAAACATAAACTGTGCAACATGCATGTTACGAACTTAATGAAATTAATACTTACCGGTCTGTTCATAAATTTATGGAAATCAGAAATTTGAATCCTTTTTAGGAGTTCTACATCTGTTATCAGTACAACCGGTTCTGTTCCAAAGTAGTATCTAAATGTAGAACACATAATATTCTAACGTCAAAGAATTAACATTTTTAAGTGCCATTTATATCCAAATACACACAACATAAAAATAGCACTTGTATTATATGCATAACAGATCACTTGTATACTGTGACATGCATTCAGATTCGTCCGCGTATGTTCTAAAAGAAACAAAGTCTATATGTAATTGAATTGAGTTATATGTTTAGGTGGTCCAGGGATACATAAAACTTTGGTGAATAAAATATGACTTTTTGTCCACATGGATATGATATATCCAAATGAACACAAACTAATTATGATCTAAAACTAATACAAGTACATGTTATGTTTCACAAATATGTTACATAACATTAGGAAACATTTAAACTGGTCTCTCTTTTCTGCTTTTATCAAAATTTAAGTTTTCACCTCAGTAACTATGAGAAAGAATTCATATGCTTTAAACCTAACTAGCCCACTGTATTGCTACTGCCAGGTATGCTTTAGTATTGTTGCAAAAATTCTTTACACAGCGTTACTAACTGTAAATGCTTAACTACTGATACTTTAAAAAAATGACATAAAGGTAATTGTCATGAAAAAATGGAACTGCCTCTTTAAAGACATTTCCAGTATGAAAATATATTTGAAGCTTTAAAATTAATTATTTTAAGAGCAAACGAGATATGGAGACGTAATACAAAAGGGATTTAGCCAGTATTATGATAATTTATAATTAATGTAATTATGTAATTATGTAATTCACCATAATTATCGGGAAAATCTCTGCTACTAGTTTCCGTGAAAGAGTGTATTTTATTAACTTGAAGGTAATTTTCTTCCTGTTCACCCTGTACCTTGTTGATGTGCTTAGAAGTGCACACAGTTAACAATAAGAAGGTCAGAAGTTCGATTCTCAAGGAACTCATTGCTGATGTTTCATGCTCCTTGCTTCGAAATAAACTTAATGACTGCACAAACTACAGAATATTAGTCCTAATTTGTTGATTTTAACGGTAAGGAAAGTAGTAATATTGTTTAAAACGCTATATACGAAGCGTGTAGAGATAAAAAGGAGCTTTTGACAATACAGAAAGAATGGAAAGAATCAAATGTATCTAATGTAAAATTATTCTGATATACTCCTTCAACAATATAAACATTATTTTATTAACATCAGTATTATCTTTACTTACTTACATCGAAAGTTTTCCCACATTGCATCTCATTAAGGTAACTAATAATAACCAAATCTCCATTTACGTATGTATCATTAGCATAAAGAAAAACTTATATCAGTAAAAGTTTCTTCTTTAAAGGAGGGGTTATACATTATAGCCTTAGAAGTGACTTGAAGAAAAGATAGTTCAACTTACCCCACTACTTTTCCATACTTTTGGATCCATTCTTTGTGGCACTGTATGGGATTCTAGAAGAAAATGTATAATTTTCGAATAAATATATAATTGCATATTCACCCTTGTTTTACACTCAATGTATTTTTTCTTCACTTTTGTATCAGTTTAAAAATTAATTTTATTAGTAGTAAATTTTTATTATTTATTTTATTACTTTAAAAAAGTTCATGTTAAGATTTTTGATTGACGAATGCAACGAAGGAAATGATTTATAATTTTATAAATGGGTAAAAATCTATTTAACAGTTTTATTATTATAACTTAAATTTGAAAACTATGTTACATTAATAAAGTTTTTTGGTGAAAACAGCTAATACACGGAAAACATTGCATTTTTGCTATAAAAGGTTTTACAATCACAGTACTTGTATTTTATGTTTTATACAGAGATATTTTCATTAACCTTTGTTGCAAACTACGAATATCATTTTACTACTTCAAAATAAGATTAAGCCCACCAGCGGCCGAGCGGTAACGTTGCTGAACACTGGTAGTTCAGTCCGAGGTTCAAATCCCGCGATAGGCCTGGCTGCATTGGTGTTTTCGGGGTTTTCCCCATGTTTAACGTTATACGAGCCAGTTTCTCTTAGAAAGTCCTCCACGAAGGCATCCCTCCCCTTAGGCAGATAGCCCTAGTGTGCTTTGCCATAATTAAATACACCACCACCATCAAAGTAAGATTCTTAGCCGCAAATGTGATCGCAACTGATAAATATTGAAAAACCCAAATTTTTTGAGGAATAAGAATAACAAATAAATATGACGACAGCTGAAGATAAAAATTGATAATTTGAAGCAAAATATAAATAGCAACATTTATGTCAGAGATATCGTTTCAGAAACCAGTGAGGTTTATTTGCTACAAAAAAAAAAAAAAAAAGGAATATTCGTTCCAATATGGATTAAGTTTTGTTGAGCATAACACAAATATAATCTGACAGTCTTTTAATGTAAGAAGTTAACAAATTTTAATATCAGAAGGATCTAATCTTTCATTTACAAAGAAGGTTCTCAGACTTCCCGATGACAATCTCTAGGAAGCTTCAAGAAGGAATCAAGTAAAGAAACAACAACAAAAAAAGTGTAAAGGTATCCATTTCGCAATTGTTCGCGATCCCTCGTAATAAAGTGTATAAAGGGGTTCGCGTTTGCAATATTTGAAACCATAGATTGGTAGTTGTAAAATATCTGTAAGCTTTGAAGCATTCTTTCCTTAATTGAGATCACGTACTCTAAAGTAGCGCATGTCATACACATATACGTCGTCCCAGGACATGGTAATCTTAAAGGAGATGACAGCGCTGCCAGTAAAGCTAATGCAGGCACTACATTTAGAGAATAATGGCACCGTACTCACTGGAAGACGCGTACTAATGTCACTTTCAGAAAAGAAAAAAGCCAGTATCTAGCTTGGATAGATACTGGCCAATACTAGGCCAGTATCTATCCAAGCTAGATACTGGCCTAGCTAGTTCAAGAATAACATTCCAGAATCTGGAGTACCAACCTAAAGCAGAATCTAAACGGTTGGTTTGCTAGTTATTTGGTTAACTGAATATCGTAAAGCACACTAAGGTTATCTACCTAAGGGCAGGGATGCCTTCGTATAAGACTTTCTAAAGGAAACTGGATCGTATTCATCTTACAGATGGAGAAACCTACAAAAAGCAAACAGGTAGCCAACCTGTTCGCTCGGGTTCGAAACCGAAACCAACTACCAGTACCCAGCAATTTTTAACCACTCGGCTGCTGTTGGGACTGTATCTAAACAAATATGAAGCAATCGCGCAACATGAGTTCGAACTTAGCTTTCCCATTACAACTCTGCCCTGCGCTGGCTGAATCCAAAAGAACAGACACACCAGACCATAGATCTCAGACCCAGATCCATATTCTAGAGGACCCATACAGAGTTTAGATATCCATAGTCCGTGGGACCTCATCCTCGCGGGCGCAACCCCCGCAGTCCCCGCCCGGCTTTTACAAAGCTTTTGGGCAGAACTAAAACGTTGCTATGTTTAAACTCTGTCACTTTGCCTCCGGGAACCACTCCATCGACAAAACTACATTGTTGTGGGTGTTCTGTCTACTCTGTCAGTTTCCGCTACGAGACCTGAATGGAGTCAAACCCCGGGGACTCCGCCGACGATTTCCGATCTAGCTCCACCCCAGCAGAAGGAATAGTCACGACAGCACCAGTACGGTCCCTGCCAAGCCTGAACCAACCTGAGTACAATACTCGGGTTCTAGTCCTGTGAAGCCAAATTATGTACCCCCGTAGTTGAGACTGCCTAGGTATAGATCCTAACCAGTGCTTCCTAGGCGTTCGCCTGAATCAACCCCCGGGGGGGGGAATCCAAAAGGACAGATGATACTTTTCATGATTGGAAATTTCTTCCACCATTACTGAGCACTAACAACGTACAGACTCCGAAGCAACAAATTTCGGTAGGGTCTAGTCCGTTAGCCGCAATACACAAATGTTACCGCTCTCTTAACTGCGTCGAGGTGGCTTCCAGAGGAGGAAACAGTAAAGTTTATGTCTGAATAGATGAAGCGCTTAGCGAAGTGAAGGAGATATGTCATAGATTTAAAACTAGGACAGCCAATTTTTTTATCCCACTTCTTTAAATGTCAGTAAAATTTTCAGCTCATTGTTACGAACGTTTTGAATATGACGTTTACATATGCTAGCGGTTTTCTGCCACTTTATACTCTATTGTATCACCTGCGTTAAAAGCCGCGGCAATTTGCTGCACTTTGTTAGGTGTAGTCTTGTATTTTCGAATAGCTTTTGTTGCTTCGAAAAGTGTAAACAACTCCCGCACAAAGCGCTTGTCAATGTATGTTGCAATTAAGTAACTATATATCCGAATAGTGGCTATTTCTTCGTCACCTCCGTTATTAATATTTGTAGCACAATATGAGGATTGCAACCTACTTCGTTAATCGTATTATAGTGTATAATTATTATTCCACAGCATTACTTCTGTTAGCTAGTGACTAATATGGCATACATAATTATCAAACAGGTTTATCAAAAAACTAATTATTTAGATATTGTTACGTTATTTCCTTCCTTCACGTTCGTACGGGGTTCATGTGAATTTGGAGTGAATAACAACGACAGCACTTGATGGAATATCGAAACGCACTTTATTGGCCAGTATTGTCAGGACAGCTCCAAAACACGTTTTTACAGTCGTCGATGAAGTACTATAAACACGCTGACACGATCAGCGACCAGCCTCCAGGTTATCAGGCTATCACGGTGGAGACAGCTTCACAGCAAAGCACTAGAGTACAGCTCCCGGCTCTGCTTAGTCGTTCTCGGAACTCCAGGTACTCTCGAGACTCTCCACGCTACAACTCACGATGCACTCGACGACACACAGAGCACAGCTCCCGACTCTTCGGTTCAGTCGTTCCCGGAGCTCAACACGCTCTTTCGACGATGCACTAATCACGATACACTACGAGACTCTTTCGGTGCACTCGACGACCCACTCGGCACTCGCTGCCCAGCTGTCAACTCGATCGACTCCGCACGGACTGACTGACTCGAGACACACTGACTCGCACTCTAGACGAGGCACACTCTAATTGACTGCGGACCAGCAGGGTTTATATAGCGTTCGGCTTGTGTTTGAGAACATTCTGGGCTAAACCGGCAAGAATTCGTTCCAGAAGGTTCTCCATCCGTCCATGGCATATCGCCTATTTTGTCGCCAAATGGGCGATTTCTTGATAAATGTGGTAACCCTGCCTTCCTTGCTATTTTATGACAACCCTAAAACTGCTTTGCGGGGAAGCTATCCTACTGGGCCTGAACATTTCGTAACACTATTTACATCCAGCTGTATGCTGGGCATCAAACACATCGCTATCACATTTGCTTGCTCTCTCCTACCTGGCGCTTCTCAGATTTTCGCTCTGTAAATGCAGCTTTCTTACAACGCAATCTATTGGTGTGTACACTTATTAGCAGTCTAATATGTCAATGCTCTGAATTATCCTACTCAAGAAACAATTGATACCATACGACACGCATGCTACCTGCCAGTAATACATCTTTTCACACAATGACCTTATAACTCACAGATGCATTATGTTTGCCAAAATTTTCACAGATGCATTTTGTTTATCATTTATGTTTGCCTATAAATATTATGGATGTGTGTACAGTATTTTACATGCTTTATTTTGGAAGTTGCAGGCCATTGCGAAATGCCCTACTTTGCACCTTTTGTTTAGTGCTCATGTTTACTAACGCCTAAACGTTTCGTGGCGATTGTCCTTGGAAGTCCGATAGCTTTCTTGTAAGTAGCAGTGCTCTTATTTATTTTCCCATATTAAAGAAAGATTTCATTTTAAGAGTTTTGAAGAATTTTCTCAGTATTATTTCTGGGTAGTAAACCTGAAATTAAAATATTGCCGTTACAATGAAATTAATGAGCATGTATACGATTAACTCTAATGAAGAATGCAATAATTACAAATTTCAAGCTCTTTTATTGGCATTCAAAGCCTGATCTTGACCAAAAGTCAAACTTGAAACCACACTAGATGAGTCCTAGATCCAAATGGATTAAAATCCAATTCCCCGACCTTCATAAGCTGTGCACGTATATAACTAACCTGATATTAGATTTAAAATGAAACAAGAAATAATTCAATATGTGTCCCTCGTATTATTAGAATGCAAATAGCTTTACGGAATGTTGCGAAAGGTTTTACCATTTATTCTTGTATCTTACAAAATAAGGAAAAGTACAGCAGATTCAATATGCATTGCGTTCGGGATTAATGCCTTACTGGATCCAAAGAATACTATGTATAGCAGTTAAAAAGCTGGAAGATTGGGAGTACTTTTTATTAATTTATTATTCGTCATAAATTTTTAGTAATATAAATAGATTGGATTGGATTATTTAATTACGGCAAAGCACGCGAGGGCTATCTGCCTAAAGGGAGGGATGCCTTCGTGGAGGACTTTCTAAGGGAAACTGGCTCGCATACACGTTTACACATGCAGCCAGCCCGTTCGCGGGATTTGAACCTCGGACCGAACTACCAGTGTTCAGCGTCTTTACCGCTCGGCCGCTGGTGGGCTGTAATATAAATAGAAAATGATAAATAGTAATTTATAATAAGGTCTCAAAAAGAAATTTGCGCCCACCAGCAGCGGTAAAGTCGCTGAACGCTGGTAGTTCGGTCCGAGGTTCGAATCCCGCGAACGGGCTGGCTGCATGGGTGTTTTCGTGGTTTTCCCATGTGTAACGTGTATACGAGCCAGTTTCCCTTAAAACGTCCTCCACGAAGGCATCCCTCCCTTTAGGCAGATAGCCCTAGTGTGCTTTGCCATAATTAAATACACACCTTAACACACACCAAAAAGAAATTTGCCTTTGCGAGAGATGCTAAGAGCGATATCGCAACTGGCAAAATACATCGCATTTTTCTTCCGTTTTCCTGGTCACTTTCCTTCAACAAAAACCTAGCATATGTATCAGATATCCCACATGTTTGCTCAAATCTTATTTCTCGGTATAATTTTACCAATTCTTCTCTCATATAAAACCGCTTTTATTAGGTTTTTCATGTTTTGAAGGTTTTCCAAAGTTAGAGAACCATTAAAGAGAAATATTTTTTAAACAACTAATACGGAATTTGGATTTCGCAAACAAATTCAAAATTGGGAAGCTAATATTCTGTTCCAGATTTCCAAAACATTTGTTTTTGATTATGAAGCAAGAAGAGCGTTAAACATGGTTTTCTTTAATTATTTTAATTTTAGGTGCCAAAAGCATTTCCCATGAATTTTAAGCGTAAAATAAATTCAAATTTATCTTGATCTCCTGTTAATAGGCCATGTGAATAACAACAACTAAACAAAATGCTTAAATTCTTATTATATTCATAGAATTGTTTTGGCTTTGAAATCAAAGAATGCAAAGTGTTAGTTTTTAAGTTATCATTTACATATAATTCATAGTAATACAATATAAAATAGAAATTCTTGTGAAGTTAGTTTTCTGGGACACGTAAGAAACTATTGTTGCCTTAGAATCGAATTTTGAGAGCTAGGAATAAAAACCAAAATGTTCATATGCTATATACCTGTAAAATTAGTTCGATGTGTAATTAAGGCCGGATTTAATAAATTGCCATTTCCATTCAATTAAAGCAAAATTCGAAACCTAAAACCAAGGATAAAAATAATTTTGAAAATAATTTTACTGATAGCATATAAAATGAAAAAATGTTTTTTTAAGAATAAAATTTATTTTAAAATTTTTATTACTCTTAAATTTCGAGATAACGTGTGAATTTATGATAGTAATTCATGCTAAATTAAGATCATAATAACTTAATTCAATACTCTAGATGGTGACATAAAGTTGAGAGTCAGACTTACTTTCATTACCATTTCCAACAGATTACCAAATAGAAAATTAGGTTCTGGGCCAGGAATTCCTAATTTTTTTAGAACTGAAAAATTTCTTTTCCTCCAACTACAAAAGAAAAAAAAAAGGATTTTCCTTTGTTTGCAAAGAATGTACTTTCAATAGAACGCTTATCTCTTCTCTGAGTTTATGAAAGATAATAATCATTATTGACCCTGAGATACATAAACATTTTCCTAGACACCACTGGTGATAAAATTTTCCACTTAGAATCCATATTTTTATTTTCAAAATTCCTGATGTTTCATTTATTTCGGAGTTCCGCAAATATTTTCAGGCTTGTACTTTATAAATCAAATTAACTGTTTCTTTCATTCTTCTTTTTTGTGCACTAATTTCAAATACTCTTCTGGTCCGTGAAATAGTACAGACAGTAAAATGTCTTTGCATATTTTGGGCGTATATCATTTTCCCTTTTTCACAACTTTTTCCTCACCTTTTCCCTTTTCATAACTTTTTCTACCTCCATATATTACTTCTTTTACATGCAAAAAATAATTTAAAGTTTTTAACTATTTCACGCACAATTTATTTCTATTAATTTTTTATTTAAATAATTTTAAAGATTAAAATTTAAAAAATTTTGATTATTTGCGCTAATTTTAAATAGTTTTTTATGGATTCTATCAGTTATTATTTTTTAGGGTTCAATTTAATAAAATGAAATTTATTCAATTTTACGAAAAGTTTACATCTTCTTTGCATTTCAACTCAGTCCTGACTATTTATTATTTCCTCTTATCATACAACCATAAATCATTCAACTCGACATATTTATTAGGAGCATTCTCAGCAGTTACAAAGATCATGAGAAAAACACTTCACTCAGGTTTTAATTTATTTTTAATTTTCCTTTCAGGTTAACTTATTTGAATTATCGATTCGGTTTTATTATACATTTTCCAATTTTAAGTATATTTTCTTTTTCAATTTATACTCTTTATTACTACTTTTTTGTTTATTACTACTTTTTTTTACTGTTAAGAGTTATCAAATATATATAAAAGGTAAATTTCTAATCAAACGTTTCTTCTTTTCACAGCAGTGTTATACCGTGATATAATGTGTGTTCGCATTTATTATACAGTTATGATCATTATTCATTATAGAGTTTTATATACAAGTTTATACATTTGTTATATATATTTAATTTATATCATTATGTATTATATGATTTGCTTTTAAAATATATCACAATATATATTTTGAGTTGCTTCCTCAATACGAAAATCTTTTCTGAAATTTTTTTTATATTTAGTAAATATCTTCTTATTAAATGATTTTTTTTAATTCTAACTTGATTTTTTTTTTTTTTTTTGGGTCCTGCTCTGCAAAGGCTTTTGAGCAGTTCTGCTTTATTCTTTGTTTCGAAATTTATTTAGCACATTACTCTTGATTATCCAATGTTTTATCCTGGTTCCTACTCTAGTATTCTTCTTTCAATATTTATTTTTCAATTATTTTAGGATCAAGTCAGAGCGAATTATATGCTGATGATTAATTATATTAAAAACGTTTTTAAAATTGTTACTTTGTTGCGGTTTTAGGCAGTTTGAGTGTTTATTTTAATTATTTTTAATTGGCATTCTCTATTATTAATTAATTAATTAATGTTTCAAGAACTCATAATGATCTATCTATAACTCAGAGACGTGGGCTTTGTTGAAAATTCTTCGATTCCTCCTTGAAAAAAAGACAAGGAATTTCAACTATTTACATATTTTAAATCTTTACTTAAGGATTTTTTACTAATTTTTTCATTATTTTTGTTTCAATTTGAAAGACCTTTTGTTTTAATTTTGATATATATATTCCCTGTTAGAATGTTGCCTTCTTTCATGACTTAATTCAGATTTAATTATCATCTCTTGTTTACTTAACTAATTTCGATGTATCCTGCGAAACTTTAATAATATATTATCTCATCTGAAATTTATCAACTTTTGTTTATATATATATATATATAATGTATACATATGCATATATGTAATGAAGCAGACATAGATGTAATGATGTAGCAATGTTGAATGCATAGACACTGAGATGCTGATCTTTAATGAAGCACAAACCTGGCAGCCGAGGCAGATTAAATATTCCTTTTTATTTCAGTTAACTTTTCCAAGCACAAATACTTGGCAAGTTAATCGTGCCTGTTCCAGAAAAGTTACACTTTTCATATTGTTTTTCAGAAGATAGGTAATGAACAAATAACAATATTTGCGACAGCGAGGTGGAAGCAAAAGTGCTTCGTGTTCAAAGATGAAATCTTAATTCAGAATGAGTTAGTTTTGGTTTAAATGCATTTGATTGGATAATTAATAATGCTATAAAATTATTATTGGCTGCTTGAGTTTTAGCTCCAAGTACGTCATCAGCTTTATGGGAAAGTCATATAATATGGATTAGTCTCGAAATGACACAATTCAGAGATGAGAAATACCCAAATTAAAATTAAGCATTAAGGAGCTATTGCTAATTTAAATTTAAATTGTAATTTATATTTACATACATTTATTTTATATATATGTGTGTGCGTTTGTGTAAATATATATATTTAAACTGGGAAAAATTCAATTTTACATTAAGGTTAGTTTTGGAAATACTATAGTCATTTCGAGGAACTTGGATACAGATCTTATTTCTGCAGTAATATTCTGCGCCATTTTGCGAGAAACAAAAGAATATATAAACTAAATTTAAATAAATAACGAAAAAAAAGGAAGCAATAACTGTAGTGCCGTCTGTTGTGTGAGAGGAATAATAAAAAATGAGATAAGACTCTTTGAGAAGAACAGGATTGCAACTAAAAGGAAGCTACAAATGTTTTTTTTCTTTTTTATTACTTATTAATTTCTATTTGTTCTATTTATGTATTGCATATTATGCATAAGGCCTAAGGCGATGAGAAGAACAATTTTTGCCTCTTGGACATGATAAAATATGTGGACTTGATCTGATGTTCTTGTTACATAAGTAAGATAAGTCACAACAAAAAATAATGCATTTATGACTGAATGACTCATTATATTTTTGTTCTTTGAAGAAGAAATATACAGGGTGTATCAGTACAGCATTTATAGACTTTCAGGAGAGATAGAGTACACTTAGATTGAGATAGAGTACACTTAATTTGGGTATTTCTCATCTCTATTTTAAAATTAGTAATAACATTTTCTGAACTGTGTCATTTCGAGACTAATCCATATTATATGACTTTCCCATAAAACTGGTGACGTACTTGGAGCTAAAACTCAAACAGCCAATAATAATTTTATAGTATTATTAATTATCCAATCAAATGCATTTAAACCGAAACTAACTCATTCTGAATTAAGATTTCATCTTGAACACGAAGCACTTTTGCTTCCACCTCGCTGTCGCAAATATTGTTATTTGTTCATTACCTATCTTCTGCAAAAACAATATGAAAAGTGTAACTTTTCTGGAACAGGCACGATTAACTTGCCAAGTATTTGTGCTTGGAAAAGTTAACTGAAATAAAAAGGAACATTTAATCTGCCTCGGCTGCCAGGTTTGTGATTAATTAAAGATCAGCATTTCAGTGTCTATGCATTCAACATTGCTACATCATTACATCTATGTCTGCTTCATTACATATATGCATATGTATACATTTAATATATATATATATATATATATAAACAAAAGTTGATAAATTTCACATGAGATAATATATTATTAAAGTCTCGCAGGATACATCGAAATTAGGTTAAGTAAACAAGAGATGATGATTAAATCTGAATTAAGTCATGAAAGAAGGCAACATTCTAACAGGGAATACAGATATTAAAATTAAAACAAAAGGTCTTTCAAATTGAAACAGAAATAATGCAAAAAATCACACAGCAATGCATAGTCAGAAACGATTTCATAGTGCGGTAGCGATGACACAAAAAGCAAAAAAGGAAGGACGCAAACAGTGAGACAAGACATGTTTTCTTATATTTAGTACAGAGAAACCTACGAATAAGAACAAAAACAAACAACGATCGTCATTAAAGAAGGTGTTCGAAATTACGACCCCGGACCGTGATGCAGGCCTCACATCTCCGCATGGAAGATCTGCATCACGAATAAAAGATGCATGACGCTCGGTTCCTGCGTCACGGTCCGGGTCTTAATTTCGAACACATTCTTTGATGATAATCATTGTATCTTTATTTTGTTTTATCTTTGCTTTTGCACTCCGAGTATTATTCAAGCTCTCTCACCCCGTTCGTGTCCTTTCTTTCTTAACTTTTGTGTCTTCGCTACCGCGCCAGGAAAGAGTTTCCGACCATGCATTCTTATGTGATTTCCCATCATCTAGGTGTACTCTATCTCTCCTGAAAATTTGTCAACGCTGTACTGGTGCACCTAGTATGCGTTAGCTTGATATGCTTAATTTTCTCTAACACCAGTCTATGATTGTAATGTAAGTACAGTAAGACCCCACTTAACGCGGGGGATAAGTTCCATCAAAGTAGAGCGTAATGCGAAACAGCGCTAAACGAGGCTATCTTAACATGCAAAACATGGGGTTAGGGAAGGATGGATAGAAAATTGGTTAGGTTATAAGGATTATGATAATTTTATTAACAGTTAAATTTTAAGTTCCTTTCCTCTCACTACTTCCTGCCAGAACGTAGTTTCGTAATCTTTCTGAATATTTAATGAGAAGGAGAGGTATTTAAACCGCGAAGTTACTTACAGAGTTAGAGAGAATCAGAGTTTCTGATTTACGCGAGTCTGCCTTTTGGCTACTCTCTCTCTCAAAGCTGTTGTTACGCTCGGACTTATTCAGATAGAGTCGATAGAGTTAAGGGGCTAACTCGATTAGAATCTTGATAGCTTCGGCTATATTTCTTTAGTTAATCTTAGTTTTAGTTAAATTTTTAGTCTCTTAAGTTCAAGCCCGAGTGTCGGCTTTGATTGTACACTCCAAGACGGAGCTTTGTTAAATCTTATTGGAATAATAAAGGGTTAGTTACCCTTCCATCTTGTTGTTTCTTGTGACACGAACTTAAGCGATTATTCGCTAACTAGTTCTTAAGATTCGTCACTTTCTACAGTAACTGAGAATTACACTACTGAAAATCTTACAAGGTATTAAATTTAATAATTTTTTAATAAAAATAAAACCAAACATTTATTTCTTACAAAAATAAAAATAATATAAAGGAATATAAAAACAAATAAAATTCTCAGTCAGTCAGATCATTCAGTCTATTCAGTGTTTCCAATTTTCTGCCTTTTGTCAAGAAGGCATTATAATAGATTGGCTTAATGGCATATTGCGTTCAATTTCGTCGTCAATCCATATAAACAGTCGTTTTTCCATTTCCTCTATCACGCTATTTCTAGAACGGGTAATTATAGTTGCAAAGCTTGACGTAGTTGCAGTTGCCGATGACAGTATTTTTTCTTTATTCTTAAGAATTGTCCTTATTGTTGAAGTTGCCAAATTCAATGCAGCACTAATTTGAGATTGACGTTCAGCAGAATCTAATCTTCTAATCACTTGCATTTTAGTTTCCAGTGAAATGCTTTTTCTGGTTGCTTTCTTTTCTTGTGTTTTACTCGTATTATCACCCATGATAAAAACAAAGATCATAATATTTGTCACTGTATTAATCGTTGTAGTATTATAGAAATTTATACTTACATTAATGTCAACAAATGTTTCAAATGATAAAAATGCCTCCGTACAGCACCGCACCAAACAAGAAACACAACTACACTGTCTCGGATATGTTATTTGGAAACTTAGCGCTGCGCACAATTTCGGGAAATCCCCGTAGCGCTGCGAGCAATTTCGAGGAATCCCGGGTTGAAATAAAAGAGCGCTAAACCGAAACAGCGCTAAACGAAACAGCGTTAAGCGGGGTCTTACTGTAGTTTACATTGAATAATTGTTGGGTATGACAAACAGAAATTATCTCATTCTTATCGACAGAAACACATTTCCTTTCTATTCCTATTTTTATTTAAAAAAATCTTCTTTGCAGTTCCAATTTATGTTCAAAGAAAGGATTTTGGATGCCGCTTGGCAGTAAGAGATGTTATACTGAAAGTTTCTCAGCAGAAGAGCGCTATAACATGCAATTCAAAACTGAAGAGGTATTTTGTTTTTTGAAATGAAAGGAAATACGATTAGTTTCAATCTCAACAATGTACATTTGCTAAGATTGAAATATTTGAAATAAGCGCAAACTTTAGCTTTAACTTGAGGTCTAATCAATTAAGCTACTAATGATCAATTATTAACCACTTTATCAACTACGGTACTTAAATTTTCCTTCATATTTATAAGTATTATAACAAACTGTGTGCATATACAAATCATATTTTGTTTAAATCCAAGTAATCTTCTGAAATATTCATTACTCACGACACGTTTTATTAGACAAATTTCGGCAACTATGCTATAGTACGTTTTCGCGCCCGCAATTTTAGTAAAGGCATAATTTATCAAACACTACAACTTGTTTATAATTCATGAAAAATTTTATGTTTGTTGAAGAAATACGGAAATAAAATGCCTTTGAAAAATAAATTACAAAATGGTAACAAAATTTATAGATATATTTTGTAAACATTAAGCATCATAATAAGTACATAATATTATGAAAAAAGAAAAAGTTCTAGATACCTAGTAATTCACAGAATTATAAGTATTTAAAATGTGTCTACTGTTTCCAATTATTTTTCCGTTATTTCTAGTTTGCGAAATTCTCGCTGAAGAGCAAACGTGCATCAAAGTCGTTCCGAACTTGGAACTATTTCTATCTTCTCTTGTATTGCGGATTAATTAATACATGGACGTAAATAACCTCTTCTTATAAGTCAAGCACTAAAGTACTCTCTTTCGAGTGCTGAAATACCGTGTAACTTATAAAAATATAAGCGCGAAAATGTCCATATTCTTTTACTATTAAATTCAATATGAATATAATTTTCTCAACTTATATTCAAAGTTGAGAAAATTATATTCATATCAAATGCTGATTCACCAGCATACAAAATGAAGTATTAATTTATATCTAGCTGCTTTTTGTCAAATTACCTCAAATGCTTTGCTCAAATTACCTATATGATAAAACAAGTGATACTGCGTTTCCTGTACCTTAAGATATTTAAACTATAAAACTTAAATTTCTACAATTTTATGAATCGGTACTTACAATATCCACAGAACTAAAGCGATGGCAAAAAATGTGAGCGCCCACATGTCTGAACGTGTTAAACGAACCAGTGTGAATGAATTTTATTTTCGTATTCAGCCTTAAATAATAAAATAATGAGCTGTGAGTTTGCGCGGAATACGCATCAGAATTATCTTTGGCTTTATCCGTTCACGTTTTGCTATCATTGTTGAAATCACAGCAACGCAGCAAATTTCATATCTAGATAATGAATCTGAGAACTGTTTTCATGTTTACAAGTGATAGAGATCAGATACCGGAAAACAGTAATGTGTTTCTGGAAAGTATTCACTCAACTTAATGATGTAAGGGAACTGACGTCAGTGTGAACATCAAAGAGATTAAATAAGAATGCTTCTGGTAGAAAAATATTTGTTTCGGGATAGAGAAGTAACGGTTGCGTGTCTCATTCAAGGCAAATAACAATAATTCAAGGTAATAACGTTTTTACAAATTTAATAGTGCAGTTAAGACAGCTTCTGATGTTAAATAAGGATTCCAGTAGTTTAAAAAAAAATTGGAATTATTTCCTAGCATCAAAAAACAAAAAAGGGGAACTGAAAAAAAGCTTCCATATTAGGAAATGCAACTGAATAAATGATCTGAGAGCGTCATAATTGTACTTTTCATGTGACATGAGAATTAACATGCAGTTTTGAAACCCAACCTATATTAACTTCCTCGCAATTTTATTTTTAATGTTATAAGGTATTTCTCCCGCCTTCTTAGAATGCTTTCGGGGTGTAGTGGTCTGCATGTTCGGGGAGTATTTGGAGAGGTCCGTGGTTCGATTCCCGGCGAGGGCATTGCTCATTTTCCATCTCACCTGCTTCGAAATAACCTAATGTTCTTACTAAACTGTTGTAATATAGAATGGAAATTTAAATGCCAAAATAAACTAATTTAATTTTTTATTGTTCTATTGACGCGAAAGTTTGACCTTAACATTCTGAAGCCACAGTTTGTTTTTTCAAAGGAGATAAAATTTATAAATTGTTCACAGTAAATGCTAATGATCCAAAAGTTTGAATTTTTATTTTTTTTCAATAAGGACTTAAATAATTGCCAACATCCCCGTTATGCTCTGATTATAGTAACTTTCAGTATCAGAAGTTCTAAAACTAATAAGCTCGGTAGGTTAATTTATTTGCAGCCTTTTATTTAAGTAACAAATGAGTTTTATACTACAAAAATGTATGTCTTTATATGTGATAGTAGAAGACCATGTGTTAAATTGTTAAATTTTATTATTAATTTAAAAATATGTTATGAAAAGTAAGAACTGAAAAGGTACTCAGGTAATCTTTACCTGAAAATTCTAAATTTCAGTTAATCGACATCTTTCGAAAGGGAAATTTAAATCTATTGCAGCGATTCCCAAGCGGTGGTACGCATGAGAAAACTAGATGGTACTCAAAGAAACAAAGTATTTTTTACTATTAAATTCAAAAATTAAATACCCCAACATCCTGTTAAAGTTTTTCTCTAACACTCGTAAATTTATGCGATGTTCAAGGTCAATAACCGCTCATAGACTTAAGCAAAATAATCCGATTTTATTTTCACAAATATTCTCTTAGCCATAGACATAACAAAATTTGTCATAAATGATGTTTTTTAAAAGGAGTACTAGAAATTGATGTTATATTTAATAGGAAAAAAGCTCCTATAAAAAGATAATAGTATCTCATAACTTTTGTAGAGTTGATCGAACTATTAACATGTCTTACACTTTATGCGGCCACCATTCCCGGGCTCATATTGCTCTATTACCAATTAGAATCACTTTTTTTTTTCGTCGATTACTTTCGTCTAATAGGTATTTTGTCTTCTTGTTGCTTTGTATTCCTTACTTTTATACGACATTTGAGAACATCTTTGTCTGTTTTTAAAGAACTCGTTATATATTTAGCATTTAAATACTTGTAAAAAAATTATAAAAACAAACCTAGATTTTTCAAAATGGAAAAATAGGTTGGACTAAGCGGAAAAGTTATGATTCACAGGTGATGGATCCAGGACAATCGATGTCAGCACTAAGAATTTTGAAAAAAAATTGTTTATGGAAAATATAATGAAAGTTATTTATCATTCGCGTCTACTTAGAATGGAGATGAAATGGACCCTTATCCCCAATGTGTTCTTTGCCGTGAACTACTATCCAATCAAAGTAAAACCATCATTTCTTAAAAGACATCTTGAATCTAAGCATGCCAATTTAAAGGATAAATCTGAACAATATTTTAAGAGGAAATTATCGGAGTTCAAAAATAGTAAACAAGTAATGAAAGGTTTTGTTGGTTCAATGAAAAGCCTTTGAAAGTAGTAAGCCCAAGAATTTGTAAGCCTGGGCAGGCTCACACCATTGGACAAAAACCTTATATGATTCCAAAGCAGTCAGTCATGTCGGAGCTACCCCTGTGATATAAAATCATATGGGGGGTAGATGCTTGCATAAGGCTTGCTGAGTACTGACTTCTGAATTAATTGCTTTGTATCATGCCCTTTCATACATATTTTACTTACGCCAGAAAAAGGTCATAATTTATACGGACTCGTATAGTGCGATGAAAGCTTTAGAAACGTACTCTGACACTCATAACTCTGTAGTTTCGAAGTTCTAAAAGCTAAATTTAAATTTATGGTGCTGTGAATATCAGATTTTATACAGCTAAATACCTGGACATATGAGAAATAAAGGAAATGAGCTGGCAGACATCACAACAAGTTTGCTGTTGATGTATGCAGCCAGCTTGTTCCATTTAGAGATATCCGCAAGGTCACCAATAGGAAGATCCTAAATAAGTGGCAGCTACTATGGAATGCTTAGTTGGATGACAAGTTTAAATGTTTAAAACTGGAATTTTGAGACACAACCTGAAGCCGGAAAAAGAAGGTTCTTGTAACTTTCTTAGAATAAGTCCTTGTCAAGCTACACATTATTACTTTCTGAAAGCAGAGATCCAAAATACTTGTTCAAAGTATAATGCTATTTTATCAGTTCGCCATATTCTAATAGACTACTCATATTTTAAGGAAGATCATTTTCAATTTTTTAATGCCTACTACGTTCCTCTTTACCTCTTGATCGGGAAAGAGGTGAATGTTAACTTGCTTTCATATTTAAAAGAGATTGAGTTTTATCACTTAATTTGATTTGCTTTACAGTTATTTAGGTGTTCTGTATATTTTAAAGTGTGATATGTAACTTGCTTTTATTTGATTTTCCTCTTCCCATTCATCGTTAAATTTTCAGTCATTCTGCTTATTAGTCCTTCTTATCATTATCATGAACATACTTTAATTCTATTTTAATCTATATCTGTACATATTCGAAATTGAAAACGCTCACCGTCCGTCTGGCGCATTATAACCTTTATGGTTAAGTGCTCTGAAGCTAATAACCTACTTACCATTTAGAAAATCTGTCATTAGGTCATTAGGTTATTTTGAATCTGGAAATGTGAAAAATGTGCAATGCCCTCCCCGGAACTCGAACCTCGACCTCTCGAATACGCGCCGAGTGTGCTACCGTTACACCACGAAGGCATGCAATAAGGAGAGAGGAAATACCTTATAAATCCTTCTCCTTATTCAGATTTTTTGATATTTCTCAGTAAGGTTTTTCAATATGCTGCAATTCCGTTTCATTCTTAGAAGCACAGTTTGTATTTAATAAAAACTGCATTTTATCTTTTAATGATTTCTACAGCATATTTTTATTTAATGTCTTCCCCAATTTTATCACTTCTTGTATACTTCCAAAATGTTCTAATGGAGCATCAGATAATAAAAGCAGTGAGATTAGAAACAAAGACATAAAATGACACAATGTTTTCTGCATTTGCTGAATCATGTATTTATAAGATAAAATAAATTTATCTCTTCATTTTAGTTAGATGTGTCCTGGAATAATGAGAGTTTCGCAAATTTTAAGAAATTTTCTTAAATAATACAAGCCCGGAAACTAAATGACAAGCAGTTAAGTAGATGATGCTTATTTATATATTTTATTTCTTTATTGATATTCTCTATTTTTTTCTTTGTAAATGTTCATGAGAATTATATACATAGATGCTATTAGAGCACAAAACCTGATCTGCATTTAATATTATTGACAAGTTGGGTACGCATCTAAAAAGTGGCACTTTTTTAACGCCAATTAAAGACTATAACTAAATAAGCTTTGAAAAATATATTACTTTCTTCTTTCGAAACGGATAGAAAATGAATTTCATTAATTATACACAATTGAAAATCTTAGTTAAAAAGACATTTCAAAATTATGCCAATTTGGAAGCTTAAGAGAAACTCAATTGAAATATTCAATATTCAGATGCAAATTGCATATAATTCCAGTTATAATACCATATTCATATAAAACAAGAAGTGTTGTTCGTACTGGGAAACAATCTATTAAAAGATGTTTTAAAGCACTGTCTATGAGATGCGTTCTTAAGGAAGTAGTAAAGTAGAATTTTTAGAATGTGTATTGTTGAATTCAAGGGTAAAAAAAAATAAAGAGTATTAAAAGAATTATTTCCCTACATTTTATAATAATTCAATTACAAGTTTTAAAACATTAACAAATTCCCTTCCCTCTCAGAAATACTCAAAAGTTGAAATACATGGGAATCAGAAATTAGCAACAATACTTAACGTAGTTAGCTATTAAAAGGTGCTCTACTTTAATGAACCAAACAGAGCATTTTTTTACAGAGTTACTATGTTTTCTGATTTGATGCCTCAGAAGCTGAAAATCATTTCATATTTGAGAAAGTATTTCAGAGGCTCCAAAAGGTCAGAAAACAAATGATGTGAGATTTTAATATTAATAACACAGTAAACTTAGTAATCCTTAACCAAATAAAATCGAGTTACCTTAAAATGTCTTTCTAATGCAATTAGCGAAAACTAGTGAAACCATTTCATTCAAATTAAAACTGTTCTGAGAGGGCAAAAAGTATAGCATTTAATTCCGTTAGGAATGAAATGTTCTTTAAAAATGTATTCTTGCACATAGTTAAGACTTAGCACATAGTTAAATATTGTAGAAAAAGAAAATATATACATTTATGCTTATATTTGCAACGTGATTACAAAAGTGTTTCTTCCGAT